TTCTTCTCTATAGTGTCAAGACCGTTACCTTGTTACAGAAATCTTTTTTAGGGAATTTTCTAAGATGTTAGGAAAAATGCCAAGATTAATGTATGTAAAAGAGGAGGATGTTGCTCAGCTATTTTTGAAGAGGGACCCCCAGATAGCTCTTCTTGGTGGCTCTACTGAGTTCTGTGATCTTAAACAAGTCCTGGGAAGCTGGCCAAGCCCCTGAGCCATATCACGTACTTGGCTGCATAACAAATGCATTGCTGAGGTCAGCTCATACTCATGTGCTATGAACAAGGCTCTGGAGAAATGCGAACAGTTTATTGGATATAAAAATGCTGACAAGTGCTATGGACTGATATGGGATTACTGCAAATCATAGCCCAAACATGTATGTTAGCAGATACACAAAATGGTCTGTTTCAGGAATCTAACTGCAGATGATGAGGGCCGGAGCCCTGTTTTCTTAGGTGCTGTGTATGGCCAGTGGAGAGAGGGAGAGAGGGAAACCCTTGTAGTTGGAAAGCAGGTGGCTTTCATTACCTGTATGCTTTCAGGTTCTCTATGCTCTTTCAAATAGTACCTGGAGAAGCAATGCAATGCCAGTTTCACAGTGCAGCCAGCAAGAACCAAGGTCAGGAATAGATCTGCAGTTGTTACTGTTGGTGACTCTGGCCATACAGTGACTGCCAGCACCAGAGAATGGACTTTGCCCTGACACCTCGATGTTTGTAAGGGAGACTCTCAGAGCAAGAAGAATCCTGCATGGGAAATACTGCTGAAGAGGACTTTTTCCATGTTTTAAATTAAAGATTAGGTAAAGCAGATCCGAGATCTGATGAAAGTCTCATCCTATAAAAAGACATAGCTACACAGGGTAGATGTGGTAGCTGGCAGTTGTGGAATATTGAATGGCTCCTGTTGGTAACCTCAGGAAGCCCATACTTAAGGATCAAGTGACTTAGAGTATTGGTATCTGGGTCGTTCAATGCTAGGTTTCTGATATAGATCCTTCATATTGTCAATATCTCATATCAGTTTGTCTGTGATGAAGACTTTTGGAGCAAATGCATAGGATAGTGTCACTTTAGTTTCTGTTGTGCCCAAGTATAGCATCATTTTTAACAGAGGACAAACAAAGTGTAAATGTTCCTCTAGTTTTAAAGAGGATCTCTCAAATACAAGGTTGAACCACACTTAGAAAATAATGGTCCAGAGGGAGCCACTGGCATTGCCCACAAGTGGTTATGGACAAGTGTTAGCTTCTGACAAAAGTAAATCCTCTCCCCTCACATGCACACTTGGCTGTTTGCACCAGCGTGATGGATGTTTTAGGCTGCTACCGAGGTCTCTTGGGCTCAGCAGTCAGAAGTATTCGTGTCTGAAACTATTTCTGCTTGCAGGTCAGGGGTTTTTGTTTATACCAAACAACTCCAAGAAGGCTGTGGTCAGACTGCAGAAGGACACATTAAACTTTTAGACAGAAAAAGCAAGAGTTTCCCTCGCTCTGTTTTAATATATCCTTAAATATTTCTTCAGGTGCTTTTCTGAGTTTATAGTATTCTCTCCTTCAAACAGCTTTTCCTTTTCCCATTAGTTCTTCATATACTGGCTTTCTTACATCTATCTGTGAACAGTGTCTTGCTACACTGAATTAAGTGGAATATGATCTTGAAATCTAAATACTGAAGTGTGTTTCAATGTATCACTAAGAGCTTATTGAGAAATCAAGTTAACTTTGCAACAGCTGAGGCATTCATTTCCATCACTTTTTATTGTGGAAAATCAAACCAAATTACTCAGACTCACTCTTGTCCCCATCTCTTATGTAGCATTAACTCCATGCAACTGTTAAGTGCAAAATCTGAAAATAAACGTTTTATTAACATAAGAACTCTTCTTGTCCTTGAAATTTCAGTATCCCCCGGGACCTGAGTTAATTCCGTTCTTGTATTTTCTTTATTTTAAGATGAGAAGCTGTAATTACATCAGACACTGCAGATTTTTTTGTGTGCATAGTTGTATACAAAAAATATATATTATTATATATCATTCTAAGAACAAACACACACACACACATATATATACACAAATATATATGTATATATGTATGTATGTATGTATGTATGTATGTATGTATGTTTTTTCTTCTTGTCCACTGAACATATGAAGTCAGATATGCACAGTGGATTAAATAAATTGCTATGGAAGAAAATGATACTAAATGATTAAACAGCCCAGTTGTCTGTGGTCAAATGGAGCATCTCACCAAACACTTCTCCAAAATAAAAATTCTTACAAGGAATGATTTATAATTTAGACCTGTAAAAAGGTTTCCTGGATAGCATTTGCTTCCCATGTGTAATGTGGTTTTAAATCTGCTTTCTGATCCAGCTTTCTGCAGTTGTCTTTGAAATGGGCTTGGTGACAGATGGTGGCAAACCGCCTAAAGATGAGGAGATATTTTGCCTCTCTGACATACATCTGCAGAGCGGTGAGTTAGTGTCTAGCATGGTAATGCCACAAAGAAGAGGAAGTGGGGTGAGGGAGTTGCTAATCAAGAATTACTTTAGCTGGACTCACAGAAGTAAAACTGGGCAGCCAACTGCCCAGACTGATTCCCATTATTCCATGAAGATTTAAATACCTTTTTAGGAGAGATTTTGTTCAAGCAGAACATCTTTTGAAGTTTGTTTTTACCTGAACAGGAGCAGGATCCATGTCCTATGCACATCAGGTCTCACTCACGAGGATACCAATACATGAAACTGCCTTCCCTCTCTCAGGCCAACACAACCTCCAATGCAATGCAGTTTGATATCTGGTGAAGATATTCTTACCATTAAACTCCATTGACCTAGCCACCTTGCCACTTTTGTATGACTCTATTTTTTCTTAGTTTCCCGTAAGTGCAAGTACAGGAAACTAACCTGGGTTGGTTCCAGCCCACTGTGAGCTGGCTCTAACATTCTGGCACCAGGCAGTGATCATTATAAAATTATACTTTTGCCTGCCAGTGAAGAATTAGCACAAGAAAGGTTTGCCTTATGTGAAGATTGAGACTCTGGATTAACTTCTTAGCTGTGTCACAGCCCTCCTGGGTGCCTTTGGAGCCTCTTTCACTTCTGATGGGATTTTTAACAATATCTACAAAAAAGAGGTGCCAACTTTCTCATTTGTACTTTGGGCAGTGATTAGCACAGTACTACTTTGTCCTTATTTGGAATACACTTCATATCTTGAAATACAAAGAGAAAGAAGTGGCTATTATTACTTACTATGCTCAGAATTGGGGATATCCTATGAATATTCTCTCTAGAATGATTTTGAGAAGTTCATTTCTCCATTAAAAGCTACAGTTGCGTGTTAGGATGTGTTAGGTTTAGGATGTGTTATTTTTTGTTCTTCTGAGAACTGTGTAAATTGCACACACCACTGAGTCTCTAAGCCAGCTTACAGTCACTTCAGTGCAGATGCCATGTTGGTGTCTCCCTACCTCCTCTGCTTCAGGTGTCTTGCTGGTGGCAGCAGTGACCTTTGTGCAGCATCACTGACATCTCAGTCCAGTCATCTTCCAGTTTGTGGCTTTGGCCAGTATCAGTGGCCACCTGTAGCCAGCACTGCCTTTGAACCATGCTTTCAATACCAACCAAAGCTGAGAACACACTATGGGGCTAAATGGACCTGTGGTCTGACCCAAAGTTTTTTGTCCTAACATTACTAAAATGTCTAAAGGAGCATATGAGAACATGAAATTACACTGGTCCACCCTCTGCTATTTGAAGTGCAATGATTTCCCAAGCCAGGGATAGCAATTAATACCCTCAGATGTCTTTCTATTACTCTGTCCATTAGCCTTTTTAATTCATGCTAGTATAGGCTTAAGTATTTGCAAAAGTCTGCTAGCAGTGATTCCTACAACTTAGCTACAGGTGGCATGAGGAACCACCTCTATTTGTTTATTCTGAACCTTCTGGTTGTTAGCAGTTTAATCTAATGAGCCCTCATTCTGGTACTTCAGAAAAGAACAATCATCCCCTGTTCTCCCAGTCTGACATACTACTCATCTTTATAAATGTTCCTGTATTGTGAAAACAAAACACTTATTTTATTCTCAGAAATAAGAATTAAAACCAAATATTTACTTTGGATGATCAAATTAATCAACAAGTACTGGCCTGCCTTTACGCAGATTGCCCCACTCTTCTGCAGCTTCCAGATTGACCGTTGTCCCTGTTTGCTAAATTTGAGTGCCCAAGTGATAAGATTTTTGCATACTGTTTGATTTGCTTTTCTGTGCTATTTTTAAAAAAAAGAAAATGGGAGGTAGCGGTTTCCACAGTCAGTACTGACTCAGGAACACGAGAAGAAAGTCTGCAGAGGGAGAAGGTGTAATCTTTCATATAAGATGTTTTCTACTTTAACCACACTGTGACAGAGCGTAATGAAAACTCAAAAAACTTCAGTCAGCCTCTGGCTCTGTGCAAACCTACAGGGGACATTTGTGTTTACCTGAAAGGCAGAAAACCATTTAGAGGCTGGGAGTTTATTCCCTGTGGTCACTGAGCTTCCAGAAAGATATGAACAAAATGTGAGTGTGTTCCAGAATGATTTGGGCTTCAAGCATGCAGTGAGTAATACTTTTTCCTAACAGATGGCAGTAGAAACTAGGGCTGTAAGAGATCTGCCTATATGAAGGTCTCTAAGAGACACAAAACATTTCTTGCACAATACAGTATATCAGGTGAAGTTCAAACAATCCAGGATGTATGTGCTGCAGCCCAAGGTTCAGATATGGCTTATTTAGGATAATTGCCCAGCAGAGTTAATTGTCCCTTTTTGGAGTGCACTGGAAAATCTGAAAGTCTAGAAGTATCATCTTGTAATATTTCTGAGTACTTCTGTCAAGATTACAGATACCTTGAATTTTCCTTGGCTTCATAGCCAGCAATGTGCTAGACCTCATTCTCATACTAATGTGTAATAGTCTAACCCCAGAGCTGGACTGCTAATTAAACAACAACAAAAAAAATCCCTTATATGTCCAAAATAATATAGCTGAATAACCACCTGATACAGAATTATATATGTTGATGATGGTTTTAATTGGTGGGGGGAGGTATTATTTGTATTTTCTTCTTGTTAGTGTCAGATGAGTGCTAAAGACCCCTCTTGTGCTGGGTGCAAAATATACCCTGTACAAAAGGAGCATCTTGCCATGGTTTCTATCCTGAGCAGTGGAAAAGTTTCTTGTGTTTTTAAGGGACAAAAGAAACAGTAATGTGTCTTTGGGCACTGTCTCATGTGGGACAGTGGTTTTGGAGTGCAGACAGCTGAAGCTCAGCCACTCTCAGAACATCACACTTAGAAGAGAGACTAGAAAAAGATTTCTGACACTCAAGTGTGTTGCAAGGAGTTTCTGTAATTTGTAACTTCAATTCCCATTGTTCTTAGTGCTATCATGACTACACAAATGGTTCTGTACCCACTGCCTTTCTCCTTCGTGTTATGAAGACCGGTGCCTTACACAGAGCTTCCAGATGAAAAGAGTAGGTTTAAAGTTTCCTCATGCAACAAATTTTGATAGAATCCATGTTTTAGAGTCTAAAATTTCTTGCACTTAGTGAACTTTCGCTGAATGTCCAGAATCCTGAAGTAACCCCCCAGCCATCCCCTGGGAGACAGGCCAAGGAGTCAGGGAATCTGGGAAGCCCCAGCCTTCAGTGATGCTGATACCTGGCTTTACTGTTGTATTAAAGGGAGCTTAGCTGAGCCATTCCAGTGTCTGAGCAGCTTCCTGCTGACTGGAGAACTGGGAAGAATAAAAATATTTCATCTAGTTCAGACTGAAACCAAATTCTGAAAAAAATGTTTCCTGTTAACAGGAAACCCCCTTTCCTGGCTGTCCTCCGTTCTAACTTGGATGGCTTCATCCTCTCATCTAAACTTAGGACATTTGTGTTTCTTGACTTGTGGAGTTTTTGTACACAAAGGAAATATATAAAGATAGTGGATTGTAATGATTGATTGATCTAATGAGAAACACAGAAGGGAATTACCTACATTTAAAGTCCTACTGTGTTTCCTAACATTGTTTCTCTCTAAATAACTGGTTAAATCAAACTAGGTTTTAACAGATGCTTTTACATATAGTTCCAGAAACTAATAATCTAACTGCTGTAGTTGGAAGGGAATTTACTCTGTCAAAATCTAGATAGGTTTTTAAGTCAATAAATCTATAGTATAGTATAGTTTATAAATCTATAAAATGGTATCGTTTATAAATCTATAAAATATGTAGGCCAGAAGCAAAGGTTAGGTCTATCCCTTTTACGTCACATGTAACACAACCAATAGATTTTCACCTGGTTTTTCTCACATTCTTAGAGCTGGAGGCTCCTGCAAGTGGTGAGGGTGGTGGTTCCTGTGGGAGAGGACAGTGACCTTCCATACAGAAGGGGAGGAGGAACTGTAGAAGGTGGAAGCTGCTTGGCCCCTGGCCAAAAGGGGGAGCTCAGAAGCTGCAATGGTTGGTAAGTTCAGCAACTTCATCATCATGTGATTGAAAATTAAGGACTCTTCCCTCAGGGTGCTTATTAGAGCTCCCAACAAAGGTACATGACTGCATTTGCCATCAGCTCCTATGTGTTTTGGTAATGGGACTGAGCTGAAGGATTTTGATGAAGCACATTACTATCCACTAGAATTAATAATCATATTGAATACCAAAATCAGGTAAACAATTTAGGCATTGGTTCTATGTTAAATTGTAATTTCCAAATCATGATTTGTATGTGCTGTTTACAATACCTTGTAATTCTTACTCCCCTATCTCTATGTTCCACAGTCTTTTAGGATCTGTCCTTCTCTTGCCCTCTGTACGGAACTGTCTTGGGTTGCAATGCAAGAAGTAACCAAAAGTATGTATTCTGTTACCAGCTGTTAAAACCAGGTGGGGCAGTGTTCTTTATCTCTTCCATGACCCATCCTCCCTCCACGGGGATATCTTCTGCTAATGGGCCATTGAATCTCACAGCATGACTGATAAAATTACATCATCCCAGCATGAGGTGGTCCACTCAGAGGGAGGAGCCAAGCATTCCTACCTGGATATCTTTCAAGACTCAGAGCACCAAAAGCAGCCTTTCTCCACTGGATTCCCAGAGGAGAGACTGGACCTATCTACACCACCACTAGACCTTCAGAAAAAAAAATACGCCGTTCTATAGGCTCACTGCTTCAACATTATCACATCTGTCACTGCAGGAGGACTGCAGCCACCATTTAATCAGACTGCTACAAACACCCTGACCCACAGGGTGTCAGGTTGTATTCTGACTCTGTCAGTGAGGGGGTTTTTTTGTTGGTTTTCTTTTTTGTACTACTGTATTTTAATTTAAATTTCCTTAGTAAAGAACTGTTATTCCTATTCCCATATTTTGCCTGAGAGCACCTTGATTTCAAAATTATAAGATTTTAAAGGGGGACATGGTGGGGACATTTTTATTTATTTCAAGGAAAGTTTCTGCCTTCCTTAGCAGACACCTGTCTTTTTCAAACCAAGATAGTAACCTAGGTACCACTCTTCTCTTGCTCCATCAACCACTTTGCTCTTTGAACACTAACTATTGTTTATGTATTGAATAGTAGATATATTATGTATTTAATTACATCCTTAACAATTATTCTTCCATTTCATTCCATGTCAGAATATGATGTGGGTTTTTTTGGATATTCCAGTTCCTTTGATAATAGCTATTATTATTCTTGTAAATCATGTCTTGCATATAAAACAAAACATTTTGAACAGGTGTTCCCTTTAGCCAGGGGCACTTGGATTTGAAAGGTCCTCTATCTAGATTCAACAAATGTAGGTTAATCCCACTGTCACAACCTCTACATGAGCTCAATTTTCATGAAAGAAACCAGAGCAGGATGTAAATGAGGAAGAACAGCTTAAAGAAGATGTAGCATCTTTTTATTATTTGAATGGTTCTACATGCAAAGAACACAGTCCGTATGAAATGATAGAATGTAACAAAATGAATGTAATCTGCAAAGGAAAAGACATGGCAGCAGAAAATACTGAAAAGCAGTCACAATAACAGTTCATGTTAAAGAGAACTACTAATAACACTGGTGTAGCTGAAACTTCTCAATAGCAGTCCAGGGAGTGGAAGCATTTGTGTGAAACAGCCAAACATAAAATATTTTGCTAAGTATTTGATCTTATCTGATTTCTGGAACACATGTTGAGAAATTATAACATATATAGATGGAGAAATGCCATAAAAATTTGATTATTCTAAGGGTCTGCCTTGGCATATTTACTGGGAAGAAAATTTTAGGAGAAATGACAGCCAATAGTAATTTTCTTACTTTCCTTTGAGTCCTGGCAAAAAGGGGAAAAAAAAAAAAAACCAACCCAAAACTAATCCAGGAGTTGTACCTGTGTTTTTTTAATATATTCTTTGGAGAGTTCTGCTCTACCAAACCTCAAAATATTTCACAAGAAGATACAGTATATTTTCATGAATGCTGAGGGTAGACCAAAGATGCTCCCATTCAGAGACAACAAAAACAGACCATTCTCAAAGATCTTGGAAAGGCTGAGTGATGATGGCTTAACATCCACTTGACAGAAATGGAACTTTAGTGCTGAATATGAGATAATAAATAGATTAAGGAGAAATACTGATTTATTATTGATCACTAATTAATCTGCAGAGTAACAATTTGAACACAGGTATACTGAAATGATCCAGGATTCTGGAAATTCATGCCCAATTTACCTGCTGAAGAAATCTTAAGAGCTTTGTTGTAGAAAAATACAAAATGGAAACAAGAGGTGAATCTGAACTGTGAGTTTGAAAATGTCAGGGATTAGAGAAAGCAAACACCTATTCCCAGAGGCTCTGATACCAGGCAAAACTGCCAAATAATACTTCTAAGCAAAGCCATAGGGCAAGACTTTCTCCAAAGCAGGTCAATGACTATAAACAAGCATCTTGCACTTCTGGCACCTTCACTTGAAATGAATAGCAACGCTCAAACCAGAAAAAGCCCAGCACAGGTGTGGAGAGCTTCCTGTTTCTGCCTATGAGACACAGATTGGCACAGACAGCCTGCAAAACATTGCTATCAGTAAGAGATCAGCAGGCACTTTTTCTACTTTTAGTTGCAGCTGTAGGAGTGCCAAAGAGAAGGCATAGTTAGAAAAGACTTCGGCAGTAGCTGGCATTTTATCTGCAGTTTTTGGAGAAAGTGTTTTATGTTATGGGATTAAATGCACAAATATTTGAGAATTATACTAATGCTGTATAAGAAATACTTCAAAGTGAAGTATGCTCCATATTATGTACAGAGAGTTAAGTATGTGTGGCACTTTCCTCAGTTCTCTGTCCTAATGGCCCTAAAAAAAATCTTTCTTTTTGCATGAAGAAGGTTTGGCAGTCCACTTCCTAAGCTCAGAGACACTTTGCCTGTTGAGAACAACTCTTACACCTTTAACAAGACCAAATTTCTTCATTATTTCCTTGTCTTTATCCTGGTGTTCTTCTTCATAATTTCTTTCTTGCAAGTCTTCTTTGGATGGGAACACAGTCTTGCTGAGGAACTGAAATGGGAAAGAGCAGAACTTGTCTACCAGGGAGTGAGTGTTGAGTAGTCATTTTTCCTCCCAGCCCAGTTTATTTTCACTGATTTTTTTCTACAGTCTCACATACCTTGAGGATGTGGCTTTGCAAGAAGAATTTAATTCAGGAGGAATCTTGCATGCCAGCCCTTCTCTATTCTTGCACTCTTACTTAAAAAAATTATCATGATGGCACTCGTCAACCTGTTTTCAGAAACCCAGCCTTCTCCCTTGGGAAATATCTTGCTATTATATTAAATTTTGCTCTACTGTTCTCAAAATAACAATAGACTGCAATGCATTTGTGATGTTCAAATACTAGAAAAATCGTGGTATATCTCAGGAATTTTTTTTTTCTCAGCATTATATTTTTAAAACAGTAAAGTCTTATAGGCCTGTAAGCCTTAATTTTATTTCTTCTACAGTGATTGTATCTGCTGAATTTCTGTTTAGCTTCCCCACAAAAACTGAAAAAAAAGGTAATTCATCTTTCACAGCCTATTATGAATATTATGAACAGTGCACTTTGTGCTCAGCTATGTCTAAGAGGAGATCAATTTACTGTTCATACATAGACACTCACCTGATGGGTTACCACCTGTTGCCTTTTCCCTGCAAGAAGGGAGCAGTTCTCGGGCTGAGAGATTGTAATCATCTTTTGTGAAGAGAAATGTGTTTCATTTGATGCTTTCTCTTGGGGTATGGGGGTAGCACAGGCTGGAACACATTTTGTATTCTGTTTCACAGCATCCTTTCTCAACAGCAGTGGATGTGAAACTTGGAATGTTAGTTTACGGACAGAACGACATGTAATGAGCCAAACAATGGTCTTCATAAACAACATATGGTGGCCAGATATCTTCATTTCTGCTGCCAGATCTTCATGCCTCATTACATATAGAAGGTAGACTTGACCATTATAGATCATTAGAGCATTTCCCTTAAAGAGAGGAATTTCCAGTTGCTGTGCAATAGAACTAACAGATGAAAGTACTAACATATTCTTATACTCCTTATTCTTGATACTGGTGAGTGACTTTAAAATTTCTGAAACAGCACTGTTAGATGACTTTACAATAAGAGGATAGAATCTTGCTGTCTTTCCATCTGGCTCTTTTTGTGCAACTTCTTTCACTGGGATTATCTGGGAACATTTCTCATCTTCAGTTACATCAGGACTAGAACAGTGACTTGTTAAGTCTGGGCTGCTTGATATTAAAGACTTTGAAAAATTTTGCCAGAAGGATCTGGAACTCTCTTGCATCTTTATTACTGGCCATATGTAAATTACAGATTGTGTTTCTGTAGATTGCCTTGCTTCAGAGACCCTTCTCGCTGCAGCTAACAGTAATTGCTGAAATTTAGATGGGAAAAAAGATAGTGGTATTGATGTGACTTTAGCTTGATGTGGTATCTCTAGATCAGGTTTTAAAATCTGTGCCTGAGGTTCTTCAGTAACTTTAAGAGGATCAGAGATTTCAGAAGCGGGTACTTTGTCTTCTTGGTTAGCATAACTTAGTGAGAAACCACTTTGCGGTGAGTGCTTTGCAGCCAGGTTTTCATTACTTTGTGTCTTAAAATCGGTTGAGAACTCTCCTCTGCCAGCAGAGGTCATGACACTATTTTCTAGCCTGTTGAAATCTTCCTTGCTGCTCATTTGCTGATCCTCTCCCACCAGAGCAGATGTAACCCTGGTATCCACCTCCTTAGACAGATTTAGACAGATGAGCCTTTGTGAGGGGGTAGTTGAACAAATTGGAAAGGCTTCTGGAGGAAAGAGAATGCAAAAGGAGTTTCAGCAGGTCTCATCTATTTTCAGCTGTTTCCTGAAGGACTTCACTTGTGCAGCCTGACATGCTTATAATAAAAGTGGACAGAAATCAAAATGTGATTACATGTTTGTAAATGCACACAGAGATTTTTCTTTGTTACCTCAAAAAAAAATTAATTAACAGAAGTGTAATAAAGAATTGGATGAATAAAAATTCGAAAGAAAAGGTTTAAATAAAGTATATGTAATTGTAAATGATGAAAATATGGAATGAGAAATCCTCCTCCAGGTCGAGGCAGAATTTCTCTTCCAAAGTTACAGATTGCAAAAAGCCACCCAGATAACGAACCTCGGCAGGCACATCAACTCGGAGGAAAGAACAGGACAAAGACCATCATAGAAACAAAAGAACTAGCCTGAAAGTCTACCTCCGGACCTGGGCAACGCCCGGCCGACTTCTGCCGGAGACCATCAAGCGAAACAAAAGGGACGAGCCTCAGGAAAATGGTCGTTGCCAGAATCGAACACCACACCCGCCAAACTTATGCTAGAGTAACTCAATCAAGAAGGACAAAGAGGAAACAACTCCTCCGAGATATCCATCGGCGCTAGCCCGGATCCCTCGACTCTGCTGTGATGAAATATGTTAAAATACATACAGAATCACTTTGCATTTGAGGAGACTCTGCCCGGACACTTACTGACTCAATTTTCTAGGCCAGGAAATCCATTCACCCTACAATCAGGGACACTTGGTGAATGGAAACTGGTTGGAATTCTAGCCTGGGGACATAAAATCCCTATAAAAACCCAGGCCAGAGAACCCTCAGACGTGGATTTGGGAACACCTATACCTTGCGTATAGACCCTGTCCACCCAGCGCTGCGCTGTTCATTTATTGTGGTTTTTCCTCGCTGTTTTGCTGTTTTGTTAATTTATAATAAATTTATCTTTTTTATCCTTAATCTGCCGTTGCATTTATAACAAGAAGCATGTTTGTCATTTGACTACAGCTCATCTAGCCAGTAGAATTTTTCTGCAATAGTAATTTGCTGTGAGATACTTCCAGTCTTAAGTTGGCAGTGAGTTTCTGCTTGCTTCCATAGGAATTTATACAATACTGCAAGCTGCTGGTGGACAGGATCTATTTTGTTTAGATGTAGCACCCCCTCATGTCAGAAGATACAATCTTCTTAGACACAACACCATTGAAATCAATGCACATTTTTAATAAAAATGGTCTTAGCCAAAGAGCTTTACAATCAGTTTTGTACTTTGCTTGCAGAATGCTTTGACTTCAGCAGTCAACCCCAGCCTACACTACTCTCTGCTGCAGCACAATCAGACCCAGTGGCTTTGTCATGGCTTTTAATAAAGATGTAAAAAAAATTTAAAAAAACAAGTTCAGATGTTTATCTGACACATACTAAAATCTAAGCATCAGTGAAATTGTAAAATGCTAAATAATCATAAGATCATAGTTGAATGTACAGGAAAAGAAAACATAAAATTTAAACTTTTATCCTGAGAGAAATTAACAGATTAACCTTGAATTAACTGCTGCTTCTCCAGAGGTTATAGTCTCCTAGAAATAACCTGCTCCTCTTGAGTACAGACTTGATTTTGTAGAAAGGAAACATACACACTCCCATTATTTGTATGTCAATTACACAACTCTAAGGTATATTTTAGCCTTCCTAAACATTAAAAACCACAATGAGCTTCACCTCCATAACTGAAGAGATTCTACTACTTAACTTACAATAAGAAATGTAATAAAGCCAAGGTCAGTGAACCTCTGTTTAGGATCATGAAAATTAACTTTTCTGAGTCCTTTTATCTATGAACTGCCATTTCATCCTTATCTAGCGATCAAATTAAAATTCAAGAAAAAAAAAAAAAGTTTCTATTTTTGAGCTAGAGAAATCCTGGTTAATTGTAAAGCCAGCTGAAAAAGAGGCAAATATCACTGCAGAGAGAAAGTCTCTGATTCTCAGAAATCATAGCTTGCCTGTGAAAGCTCTGAACGGATTGATCTAGTGATCTAGTGATCTAGTGATGGGGGTCATCTAGTATAGTCTCCAACTTTGATGATTAATGCACGGTACCTTACAGGGCACATTTTCATGTACAGCAGTGACCTTGGTTGTGTCATTTTGCCAGTCCTTGAGTTTAAGAGATTGACCCTTGTGTCATGGGTCTCAAGGTTCCTGTAATATATGTTGGCATAGTTCGTGTTTTATTGTACACATATAAAATCAAGTAGAAAAGCATGTTTTATGTAAAAAAAAAAAAAACAAAACAAAAGCAACTTGAGATTGCAACAGCAGCTGCTGGAAAACCAGGAATTTGCAAGAGAACACCCAGCAATTAAGATAGGAGAAGAGGTGGGTCCACCCAAGCAAGATAAGCACTCTTAACGACCCGGTGATTAACTCCTGATACCAACCTCATCTGATTCTCCAGGACCATGCATCTGAATGTTGGTTTCCTGAAAAAATTACTCAGACTCCCTTTCCTTCTGAGGAAAAAACTCACCACGATTCTACATCTCAAAGCCTGCTTCCTGAAAAAAACACTCAAACTTCATCTCCTTCTCAGAAAACTCATCAGCAGTCCAGCAGCAGAAATATTAATATGTAACAACACAAGAAAAAGAAAAAAACTGAAACTGCATAGCCTCAAGCTGAAGAAACTCTATAAAACTCAGCTCTCCAAAAGACAGTTTGTGAACTTGGTGGAATCAGTGCTACAGAGGCTGATTCAGAGTTCACCCAGCACCGATCCCGGGCTCGTCTTTGACAGTGATTGTGGTGGTTTCCAAAATCCAATTCTGCAAATTTTTCAGTAAAATTGTTCTTGATAAATTTGGCTGAATTTCATTTATAACAGTTCCAAATAAAACTGAAAAAAATTTACTATATTTACATGACTTAAAGTGTCCTTATTTTCACAAACAAGAAAAGAAAAATCTAAAATAAATCTTTCTTCTTCTACCTTAAAACTTGCAGACTGCCAAGCAGAATTTCACACTTAGCAGTAGAGCAGCACAGATTTCCCTATTACTTAGATTTCATGGATATAAATATTTTCCATCTGAAGTGGTCTCACACTCTCATTTTTATGACTGTGGCTCACCATTGCCCTATCTTCTCCTGAGATGAAGACAGCAAAGAGTCTTAAGAGAACTCACAAAAATGAGTAAAATTTGTATTTCAAGTTACCTTATTTTTGATAAAAAATGTGCTGTGCACATGCAATGAGTCCTTCTAGCCCAGCCCCTGCCTTTGTTGGTGGCCAAAAGTGCAGGCCCAACAATAATCTGAGCAGAAGCCATGCACACGGTGGCGATTTCCTGGATGTCCCCCAGGCTGCAAGAGAGGGGGGCACAGGGCCCTCCTGAGCCAGCAAGGCTCTCCCTGGGTTTCCTGCTGGCACCAGGCCCTGCTGTGGAACACCCTCAGTTTTCCCATCAGCTTCGACCCCACAGAGCTGCTCATGGGGCTGTCTATGGCCAGAACACCTCCTCAGGCTCCTGGTTTGGGGTCAAGCCAGGGTCTCGGCAGTACAGCCAGTGAGGGCTGGGGTAAGGGAACAAGGGGATGAGGTTTAGTTACCATTACAGCCAGAGCACAGGCAGCAGGCTGGAAGCGCAGCCTTCAACTGCAGCAGCAACTGCTGTGGCAACTGCCAAAACTGCAGGGAGCCTTCCAGAACCTTCCAAAGGCTGCTGGACACCAGCAGGTTCAACAGCTGCTCTGGGTGATGCCGGCTGCCCTCAGCTGCAGCAGGCACTGTCTGCAGCCCCGGGCTGTGCCCACACGGCCACGCTGCCCCCAGCCCGGCTGGCTGTGCCCTGGTGCCCATCCCCATGAAGGGCAGGACCATGCCGCTTCTTCCCTGCATGGAGCACTCCCTGCAAGTGTTAGACTCGACGATCCTTCTGCATCCCTTCCAACACAGATGGTTCTGTGACCTGCACCATGGAGCCAACCCTTGCGTCCCTCTACCTTTCTGTCCCTTTGGCCCTTGCAGGGACTCCAGGGGCCAGGGATGGCAGCTCTACCTGTGGCTCACCGAGCGTGCCCCCACCTTTCCTGAGGGAGTCCTGAAGGCTCTGCCTGAGCCCTCTCCATTGCACAGCCTGGCCACAGGTCCTCGCTACCCCTTCAGATGTCCTCGTCCTCCAGCCAGCACCCCGGTGGCTCTGGAAGAGAAGGCATTAGCAGGCCCAAACCTCCCTCCTGGCCTTTCCTGAGTGCTATTTCCCTGGCATTGCCAGGCAGTGTTCAGGAGCCGGGACAGAAATAAGCCCTGTGGCCAAGGTGAGCACCTTGTGCCGGCCCTGCCCATCCCAGCCCATTCCATTATACCCATTATTCCCTGTTGTGGCAAGGCTCAGCCCAGCCCTCCAGGAGCTCATCTACTGTGCTCAGCCGGCAGGGAGGCTGCAAACGAGGTGTTCATTACCTGCTCACAGCTTGGAGAGGGGACAGAAGATATATCAACCCTATCTATATCTGGATTATTCACACTGACTTGGGAACGTGACACAGCATGTGACGGACAATGAACAGATGTTAGACTTCATATTGATGATTTTTTTTTTTTTTTTTTCCCTGCACAGTTTTCTTTAAATGCCATGGGAAAGAAAAACAAATTTTAGTGGGTTCTGGACCGAGTCCTAGCATATCAAACACCTCCCTATAATACACTTGTGTTTATTTATCTGTTTCAGATGCTGAGCTTGACATACAAATATGATACATACTGCACCGATTTTGAAAAGGGGTGGCTTCCTTCATCTTGTGACAAATCCTGTTTGGATTGTTTCATTGCTTCCAAGGGGAAGCTTGAGGAATATGAAAAGGCAAGCACCCTTGTACAGCCTGAGAGAGTAACCTATGACCACACACAGCACCAGAACAAAGAACACCACACAGATGTGCTTGTGGGCCTGAAAAGCACCAGCCAAAGTCTGCACATGCCTCAGAAAAATATGTGTTTGTAGTGTTTCCTACGAGCGGCTGTGCCCTGCCAGCGTGCTGTAGAGCACAGCGCAGACACAGGAACGCCTCGGCCGTGTCAGATGCGAGCTCTGTGGATGTGGGGTGCCCTGCACAGCTCAGCAGTGTCAGCACATCCTCCTATGCCCCTGCTGCCAGGGTTCCTCCACCACCCTGGGCACCAGAGCACCTGGGGCGCTCATTTCAACTACAAGCTGTCAGTGTCCCCGTTCTTGTAATGTGTGGCTCTTACCAGCATGTGGCACAAGAGATTTGAGTGGACTGCCTGCTTGCCTTGAGCAAGATTTGTGGCATAGTATATACTCTATTATAGCAACCTAGAAAGGCACTTAGTAAAGCAGATGCTTGGGAAACTCTGTCTGGTGAACCAGAATTAACTTAATATCATTGCTTCTATGCACCTTCCATAATTGAACAGATGGATTACATTCAAATATCTTCCTTTTTAAATGATTCCACTTATTGCAGTCCTTTGCTGATGCCTGCTCCTCATCGATTTTACAGTCACTAACCAGATGCTTCACGGTCACCAGCTGTGTGATGAAGACGGGGGAATTATGTCTCTCAGTGGTAGACCCTTGGGTCTATCAGGTTTTCATATTTGTAAGCCCAGCCTCTTGTGCTTGGGCACAACAGTTCAGAATGATTCTGTAGCTTACAAGAGCCGGACTGGGCTAAGGACTGCCCAGGAAGACGGCGGATTCACCATCCCTGGAGGTGTTTAAGGAACGACGGGGTGTGCTTGGACCCGATCTCAGAGGGAGGTCTTTTCCAACCTAATTGTTCCGTCTGAAACAAGGATCTTACACATCAAAGAACATCCTGCCTCACCGTCGGCGCATTCCACATTTTCCACCACCCGCGCCCCCAGGAAGGCGGGAACAGCCCGTCCCGCCCCTGGCGGCCCGCGGGGTCCTNCCTTGCGTGGGCAGGCGGCGGCCTGGAGCGGGACGGAGGCCGGGGGGACGCAGCCAGACCGCAAATGTAATATCTGCTAAATCGAAGGGCTGCCGTGAGCTTCTTTCTCAAGTGTTTGAAAAGAAACGGAGGGGAAGGAGCGGGGGGAAGTGTGTTTCTGTATAACTAGCCGTGTTTAGGGTTCTTTGAATCGCTAGAGATGATTTGTAGGAAGGGAGGAAATGTTACGTCTCCTTTGAGCATTTCAGCGTTTTTTATGTGTACCTTGGTAAGTCTCGACACATTCTGCTCCAAAACCACTTTTCTACACGTTAAACTAGGTCTCTGTTACATCTAGTCTTACTGTAGCTGGAGTTTCTTTTGTAAATGTTGCTATGATTTCTTACAGCTTGTCTGAATTTTCTGAAGCTCTGCAAAGTCAAATATTACAACTATTGTCTAATCCATAATGTACAGGTGAGTATTCTCAATTCCTTGTTTTCCGGTTGGTTTAAAATCACAAACATGAAAGCAGTATCTTATATATTCTCCTTTGTGACAGAGGGATTTTATTATACAAACTGGTGACCCCATGGGAACTGGCCGTGGAGGAGAATCCATATTTTGGTAAGTGTTTATGTGTAAAAATTGTGTATATATATATATATATATATATATCAAAAGAGAGTTTGTGTAAGGGAGTAGGAGGTCCAGTTGGATTGTCTTCAGCTTTCTTGGAGCAGAATTACTGGTAGGAAATAAAAGTGTTGATTCGTAAGCTTCTTGGGTTTTCATACTTAGATACCTTTTCAATTTCTATGCTCACTGTTTTTTTCCTGGACATTGTTTTGTGTCTGGCCTTAGAAGTGAAGTTACAGGCAACAACTTGTACATACATTTCTGTCTGTTGAAAAGCTGGCAACTAACTGTATTACTGTATTATTATAAACATATATTATTTATTACTGTATTATTATGAACTGTATATGTTTAGTAAGAAAAGTATCATAACTAAACGTTCCATAGAAGACAAAATCAATTAGCATTGCAAATACATTTATCATTACAAGAAAATGTACTAAACTGAGCATGAATGGAGCATAGAGGCTACATATGATTTCCTCTGTATATAAAGTGAAACGCTTTAGTTGTGCTGAGTGCTTTTAAGGAGGTTGCTTTTCTTATTTGTTCAAGAAGTTTTCAGTGGTCATGGAGACAAGAGTTGAAGAAATCATTTAGACTGCTAGCATGGAGTTAAAAGTGCACATGTTCTATATGATTCATTTGAAATAGTTATTAGAAGCAGAATTAAAATTGCAGACCAGAACTAATTGCTGGGGAGATGCTGGGGAGCACAATATACAGCAGTAAAAGGGGTCAGCTGGAACAGAGAGAGTGTTGCTAGACTAGTGTTGGCTTTTGTAAGTCAGTCTGTCAGAGCCTCTTGAATACAAAACCTGGAACCCATAGATCTATGAATCACCACTCCAGCGGTCCTGGAAGCAATGTACCTGTGCTAAGTAGATGCAAGTCTAGGTAGGTAAACTTGCCAGACTTGAGCTGTCTCTGTGCACAAGTAAATTAAGTTTATTTTGCTGTGTTACAAGTCTTCTGAGACTTACTGGTATAGCAAATGGGGAAGTGCAGTGTTATGAGTGTCAGATCCTGTCTGGCGCTAGCATGGAGAAGGTCAGTTTGTCTTTTGTACCTGTTTGCTGCTGCTGCAGTCCATGAAACTGGAGTTTCTGTTCTTGCAGGCGAAGTTTAATTTGAATCCTCTCTTCATAGAGGCTAGCACCTGCTTAGCAAAATGAGTTCAAACACAACACTGTCCTGAAATTTGGGCAAATACAGTTATCCATCATAATTTTGTCAATTTATGGAGTGAGGCAAAATAAGTGATAGCAGGGTTGGACATAAAAAATTTAAAAAATTAAAAATAATGCAACCATTTGCTATATCCTGTATATTTCAAATTACTGTATGTTGTCCTGTCTGTATGATGAAATGATTTTGCACATACATGTATTGGTTTTCTGTTTCTCTTTTTGAGATAAATTTTTGATGTAAATAACTGCATTTTTACAGTGTGGAATAACTTATTTTTGCAGAACCTACTTAAAATATGTACTTCTTTCATGTCTCAGAAAACTGTTATATAGTGTATTTAAAAATATATAAGTATACCCTTCCCACCCCCCAATAAGCCTCTGTTAAAAATCCAGAGAAAAATTTGTAATTCCTTGTGATATAAACTCTGAAAGTATACATGGGTGCAGTGTAAAATCTAGCTTTATTTGGAGGCCCTATGTAAATGTGAAATGTAAGAGCTTTTTGAGATGCCATTTTATAATGTTTGATGAGTTCACTTTCAAAAATTCCTTCTTCTTGTAACATACTTGTTATATATGTCTTTTTAGTCAGCTGTATGGTGATCAAGCCAGATTTTTTGAGGCAGAAAAGGTGCCAAGAATCAAACACAAGAAGAAGGGAACAGTGTCAATGGTGAACAATGGCAGTGATCAACATGGATCGCAGGTCAGCATATGGTGTTGGTACATGTCTAAATAACTAAAATTAAAGTTCCATGAGTTTATGAAAGCTGCAGAACAATGACACTGTCATGTCAATAGCATCATCTTGTAAAACAGTCAAAAGGCACGTGAAAAACCCACCACAGCTAAATATTTTGCATAGCATTCCAGGTGCCAATGGGTATTTGGTTACAGATAGAGGAATTAAAATGCTCAGATTCAAATCCTGTCCTAGATTAATTTTATTTGCTAGTACTCAGTCCTGTATTTTTTTCCTTTATTTATTTCTCTGTGTAGGTACTTTGATGTGATTTTTCTAATGTACAAAATGGAGAAAATTTTGTAGTTAAATGGAGGTGAAAATTAAGGAAACTTGAGTTTTGAAATAATGCTGACATTTTCTGGTTATGACTTTGTGTTAGTTTGGAAACTGAAATCATATCACAGTTTCTCCTGTATGGCTATTTGAAAGTGTGCACTAATGTGAGTTTACAGTTTTACCCAAGTGCTGGTGTAAAACAGTTTTTGAAAGTGCTCTTGTTTCATTAGCTGTTCATGCACACAAAGTTTTTGCTGTAGGTAATTATTTTTACTTAGTTTGTAAGGTTTTTTTATATTCAAAGCTCACAGAATGCTATTATTTCTAAATTATTATTTTAGGTGCAGTCACTTCTATGAATTAAAATGCCTCATTTGTAATACCCGTATATTTTAATTTTTAAAAAGGGGGATTTCTAATAATCAGAGAACAATTAAAAAGTAGGGTTTTATTTGGGCTAGAGCTTGTATTATATACAGGTAATTTTCTTCTTCCCTGCATTGTATGTATAAAATGGCATTGTTGGAGGATTTAGGAAAAAGAGATGACATTTGTATTTGTATTTAAGATGCTGCCTACCAATGTATATGCAGGTACATGGGAATGAATGCTGTTCCCAGGAATGTTATTGCAGCTTCTTCCTTGGGAAAGAAAAATTCCAGAAAGGAGCTATCTGGAGTTGCCTTACAAGTATAGTGTGGCTTAGTGTAACCTGTACCAAATACTAACCAGTCTTAACTGTGCTGTAGAGAGAATGAGTGGGATGTTACCAGTCAGACTGCAAAGTGTGGGTGCAGTGGTTGTGTCCTGTTGTTTGTGCATCTTTTCCTCTTCCTCCCTCCTCCATTAGCAAGTGCCCTCTATAATTTGTTACAAATTCTCAGCTGGTGTCAATTTTCATCATTTCAGTTTTGCCTTAAGGTGAAAGATCTGATTTGTGATAAGATACTTTCCAGTGCCAGTTTGAGTTGATCTAAGTCTGTGTGTGCTAGTTTGTCTCTCAGTGCTACTGCATCCTGTTTTTCAGGGGACAAGGGTTTGTGGGATGAAAGGAAAAAATGTCTGGATAGAATTAGGTAAAGATAGTACTATGGGAGTTTTTGCCAAATTTATTAAAAAGTACGTGCTGAATGCTGCTTGGGGAACAGGTGATTTAAGCTCAGCTCACAAGGGGTAGCCTTCCTCTTTCTGTCCTCTCCCTTTCATCAGCTGTGATGCCAGACACAACCTTTGCTGGTCTTGCTCACCAAACCTCCTCAGCATAGAGCTCTCTGCTTCTCCTCTGCCCATCTGGTTTTGTGCCCGATTAACAGTTCAAACCAGCTCTCAGAAGGGTCCACAGGCTCCTGCAGAGAGAGATTTCTCAGGTAGTGGCTGTGAGCTGTATGTGTGCTCACCATGTTCTCAGAACAATCTTTTACAAAAGATGGAAAGAGGGGTTTTTTTCCCCACTGAAATCAGTGAGAGTGTGTTAAGGTTAAAAAAAACCCCACAGCCTGAATTTTTCTATTTACTGTTCCTGGTTTTATATCTTCTTTTGTAGTTCCTCATTACCACAGGGGAAAACCTGGATTACCTCGATGGCGTGCATACAGTATTTGGAGAAGTGACAGAAGGCATGGATGTCTTGAAGACAATTAACGAAGCCTTTGTAGATAAAGATTTTATCCCATATCAGGATATCAGGTGTGACTGCTTTTACTTTTTGAGGAATACTTTATAATTGAATGAATTTACTTCTTTTTGGCAACTAGATGAATATCATGATGTTAGGTAACCTGTATGTGTTCTCTTAAATACTTTCACCCCCCCCAGTATTAGTGGTAAAATAAACAAGTACTAAATAAACAAGTATATACAAAAATATTCAGCGTGTTGCCTTACAAAAGCATCAGTGCTAGAATTTACAAGCATGCAGGATTATTTGGCTCTTTGGGATACAACTGAGAATCAGTGGTGCTGGTTTGCTGTTAGTTGGGTAAACCAAGTTTTTTCTTGCATGCAGCCAATGCTGATCTTAATTTTTTTTTCTCTAAGGATAAATCATACAGTAATTTTAGATGACCCCTTTGATGATCCACCTGGCTTGTGTGTTCCTGATCGCTCACCAGAACCTACAAAGGAACAGCTCGACGTGAGTGTTTGCAACAGGGAAAAGTTGGAAGAAATAATTAAATAAGTTGCTCTCATTTAGTGTCCAGCACAGAATTGGCCAGAATAAGAAATCAGTCTATAAGATTTTGTCTCTCAAATCTACATCCTAAAAGAACTACACATTTTTTCATGCTGGAGGTGTTTTTCTACTGTGCCAGCTTGAGTTCTGCTATGTCAAATGCTAGTCAGTTATTTGGAGCTACTGCTGTGTTTAATCAAATACAGCTGCTTAACCTTTTGAGAGAGGGATAAAAGCATGACTTGGGTGCTCTCCTCTGTGGCTCCGGTGGAATTATGTTTGAAAGTTGTATTTTAGGTTTCTATTTACAATGTGGATAGGCAGAACATTGGTATTGCTGGTATTACTGGTTTTCTGTATACTCTGGTAGAAGACAAACTATAACTAACATTAAAATGGTTACTGCTGTTTTCCTTTTAAATGTGAATAGGCTGTGTTTCAGTGGAAATAATCTTGGTAATTCTTAGAGTTATATTCTGTTTGTTCAAACAGAAGGAATTTTCTAAAAAATAATTGCAGTTATTAATAATTTACTCATAGTATGCAGTTACAGAAGTTGTATGTGAGATTATTTCCTTGTGTGGAAACAGTTGTTTCAAGTAATGAATCAGTTAACTAGAGAGAATATTGTTTATTTTTAAGCTTAATATATACAATTACAGGATTGAAATTAGGGTTTTAGAGTATGTGTGCACTGTAGTTAATCTGATGTGCCTTCAGATATGTTAATAGGGTATTCAGTAGCTCACTGCCAGCAGCATAAGAGATGTGAGGACTTGTACTGAGTTTTTTTCCCTCATAGCCTGTCTGAGGATACCTCTCTTAGCACAGCATTCTAGTGAGGATAAAAAAATTAAACCTCAATTCCTGCCTAGGTATAGATGTATAAAAACAAAATTTTTATTGTGCTATGTTCTATTCGATGTCTTGCTAGACACAACAGATATTTGCAGTGTTCCTTACCTTCAGTTGTGGCAGGAGTTACCTGTATTAGAAATGAGTTGACACTTGTGAGAATGTTGAGTATTAGGTGGGTATGTATAAAAGAATTTAGAATAACTCACTGAATATGGTTCAGACTGGTCATGGAAGTTCAGAAATAGTTCACAGTGCCTGAAATATGTTTTCCCTTTTTCTTTTGTTCTAGTTTAAGTGGGAAGAACAGAATGAAAGCCCAGTTCTGCAGATACACAGTGCTTAAGCATTTTTGTTGTATCTTAAGTGGTGAGGGGAGAGGTCATCCAAGTAATAGTTGGAAAGTGAGAAAGAATTTTTGGCCATGACTTGGTAATAAATAGCCTTTTCCTTCATTTTTCAGAGTGGCAGAATAGGAGCAGATGAAGAAATTGATGACACGAAAGGACGGTCTGCAGAGGAAATAGAAGAAGTTCAGGCAGAAAAAGAAGCAAAAACTCGTGCCATTCTCCTGGAAATGGTGAACACCTTTCTGTATTTACCTTTTAGATCTTATTCCAGTGTGTGTGCATGTTATTAAGTCTAGGAGGACATGCTATACTTACCTTGAAATTACCTATCTGGTGATGATGTCACCATTCAGAATCTGCTGTTAAATTGTTGTACAATGAAAGGATTGAGCATGAACACTCAAGCTGTATTTATCTGATAAAACCAGTGCTATTTCATTGTCAGAATGGGCCAGTGGAGGCTTTTTAAAAGCTTGCTGGAAATGCATGCAATTCTAAAATGTAATGTACATAGTATGCTGCTGGAATACCTGCAGTCCTGGAAAGGGTTTAGTATGTGTGGGAGAGAGCTGAGCTAATTTGTGACGAACTCTTCCCAGCGTACAGTAGTGAACTCCATGGGAACAAAAATTGTGAATGGGCTTTGAAGTCCTTTTTTAAACAAAAAAAGGATACACACCATTGAAGGATGAGTGAATCCATCTCACTTCCCTACAGCTACCAAATTCAAATTTGTGGTGAATAATTTGCAGCAGAGACTAATTCCAAGATCAAGTCAGATCTGGCCACAACATTGCAGATTTATAGGGACAAAAAGGTTGCACTTCCACCTTTTAGAACTGTCTGTTAGTTATGCTAAGAAAGGAAAAAGCAAAGCAGAACATATTTGTAAACTCTCAGGGAGTCCAGCAGTGGAACAAATAAATAATAAATTTTAGGTGCTATAGAGAGCACTTTTTTTGTGACTCCAAGTAGGAAAAATATTTTGTGAAGTTTTGAGTTTGTGATGGGAATGTGAGATCACATAGAAGATGTGTTCCCAGTGTGCTGTGCTGCCTGTAGAGAGCTTTAGGCAGAAGTGAGGAATGTCTTCTTTCTGTATCCCAGGTGGGAGACTTACCAGATGCAGACATCAAGCCACCAGAAAATGTGCTGTTTGTTTGTAAATTGAATCCTGTGACCACAGGTGAAGACCTGGAGATAATATTTTCACGATTTGGTCCCATTAAAAGGTAATTATGATGAAAGATAAAACCTTTGTTGAAACTGAACTTGATTCCTCCCGGTCGGTGTCTCAGGAGATTTATGCTCTGTTTGGATAGAGACCACAACAACGGAGATACAAAGGCAGATCTAGCTAGATGAGTATCCTGTCCCCAGGAGTGGTTTTAAGGAAAGCCTAAGGAAGTGTAGGAATGAAGAAAGCATATGACACTCCTCCCTGCCCCCCATCCTCTCACTCCCTTCAGCAGTTTTTATGTCAGATGCTCAATGAGCTGGATAGAGTCTCTGGGTTTTTCTTTCCTGTGGGAGTATGTGTGATTTGGGATAAGGCACCAAACCTCTGTGGCATCTGATACACTCCTTGTAAGGTGTTCCTCATTCCTGCTTCCCTTCTCAATTTTGACCTTGGCTTTTAGTATATTCAGCTGATTCCTCTTAGTACTGCTATCAAAAGACAGGATGGACAATGAAATCTGCTTTCTTACACTCCTCTATCTTCTTACACTCCTCCCCAAAGTTATTTTTTTTCGTTGCTAAGAGCACTAACCTACATACTCATGCTTCTTTGTGGTAGAGATTTAGTTACCTTGGTTCGCTTTTCTTGTCCTTTTCCTGTTCTTTTGTTTTCATCTCAAGGTGAGAGAACGAGAATTGCACACCATTTTGAAGAAATTACAGATTTATAGTGGAACATTGTGTTCTCTGTATTACTCTCTACTCCTTTTTCTGGTGAACACTGAAGCTGTTTTTTTCAACTGGGGGTTTTTGGGGTTTTTTTTACAGTATGTAGTTAAGGTTCAACCCATGGGTATCTTGCTGCATTTATCTACATCATGAATGTCATATGCTGTCTTATTGGTCTTGTAAGGACTTTCTGTGATTTCTTCAGTCTTTATTTTTGCTACCTTTAACAATTCAGTATCATCAGCAAACTTTTACTCTTACATGGTCTTTTGCATGTTTATTGATACAAAGATGTTCCTTATGCCCTTGGTATTTACTTTCCCCAAAAGCTTTTGGTGCAGGAATTTATTAGAATTTGCAGAGGGATTTCAAAAGACTTCATGGAATTCATCATCATCATCACCATACGTGAATGTATTGACTCTGTTAGAGCACTTCACTTGAGTTTATTCAGGTGATCTGGAGTAGGCCCTGTGAATTCAGATGGATGCTAACACTGTTCTGCTTGGAGTTTCTAGCAGTTTGTGCAGTACTGGCACAAAGGCCTGCAGGCTCCCAGATCCTACACTGTCTCTGTGTGTGGGTGAAATTGGCATTGTGTGCCACTCTTACAGCTCCAGCATGATTTCTCTGTGCCCTAAGAATTTCTAATTCTTGTTCCTCTGTCAGAGCTGTCACTCTTCTTTAGTTCTTCCACTTTGAGATAGGTTCTCTGAATAATCCATGAAGGAGGATTCTTGCACAAAATCATTCTGCCTTCTGCTGCAAAGAATTCCTATAGCTTGTCTGAATAGCCTTATGGTCTACTTTTCTTCTTTTTCCCCCCAGCTTTTTTTTTTGTTCTTTTGGCCTCAATCATCTTTTTGATTGTGGATCCTGATTTGTCAATTCCTCTCTACATGTGAGGGAGGTCTCACATTATTCTCACCTTAATGCCACATATCCTGCCTTTGTTACCTGTGTACCCTCCTCCAGCATCCTGTAGTCAGAATTCTTATGTCTCGTACAAGAATTGTGTAATACTGCTACAATACTATATTCTTCCCATTTTGCACTACTTACTCAATATTTTTAGGCTTCTTATTTTTGTCCAGTGACCTGTGTGAAAAAAGATGGGCTGCTGGAGAGGTGTTTGCTAAGAAAAGAAAGTTTGTCACAGGATATTTGTTTAAACTTTGCTTAAAATGACAGAGAAAACAGAATGTGAAATTTCCTGTCTTGCATCAGTGAAATGCAAAAACATAAAAACTAGCAGTAATGTTGGAAAATATATTTTGTTTCAATGGTTAGAAATTAATCTCTAGTTCTGTGCTTTGTGGTAACTGTGTGTGAGTTTAGTGTAATTCCTCAAAGCAGTGTCTTGTGCATTTTTTCTTGTAGTAACGCAACTCAGAATCAAGTGTTCTAATACCCTCGAGGTGTTTTGGTTTTGTGGGTTGGGGCTTCTTGGGTTATTTTTTTAACTCTTACTCTCCCTTTTCTGCAGTGTTTTCCTATCCTACATTTTTTGCTCCAGCAGTGTTGACATTTTAATTTTGTATCATTTTTTCAGTTGTGAAGTGATCCGAGACTGGAAGACTGGTGAATCTCTTTGTTATGCTTTCATTGAGTTCGAAAAGGTACGGGGTTTAAGTATAAACTGTATGTAAATCCTGCTTTGTAAAAGCCTCTTCTTGGTATACTTTCATTTAGGAAAAACACTGACCTCTTCAAGTGTGGAGTAGCTAATATTTTCTCTTACTGAGAGAAACTATAACTTAGTTACAGAAGTTGTAGGTCCTAAATGAGGCAAGTATTTAAGTCTTTCTCTAAGCAGACAGTACTTCGGCTGTCTTGAAACCAGTGGGAGGGGATCAGGCCCTTTTTTCCCCCAGAGCACATGAAGACATTCAAGAGTTAAAGGAAGGAGTGCTAGGAGCATGCAGCATAAAGAGAGGAGGATGTATGGAATAACACAGATCCAAGTGTACAGTAGTTTTCTGGGCTTGTAAATGCTGCTTGCTGTATCAACACACCGCTCTTACTGTGAGATTGGTGACGATAGTTCTCTTGGTGGTGCATAGCTTTATGTGTGCTGGTATCTCTCATCTGTGAGGAGAATACTGGTAAGTGTTCTCACTTTTCTTTAGCTTACTTATGTAGTTAAAATGGAACTTTTATCAGTTGTCCTCATTTCCTTTTTTCTTTCTGAATGTGTTACATGTGCCAAACATGTAGCTGGATTGGCAAATTTTTAAAATAGTGAAATGAACTGAAGAATTGGGAATTGAAATGCTGATATTCAGACAAAGCATAACTATTTCTTTTGAAATCATACAGTTTAAGAACTGTGGTGCTTTAGGCAATTTCAGAAAGAAATGTATGCCACTAAGTATTAGAATTTGTGTTTGAGCTCCTCAGTGAACATTCCTATGAAATAATTTATCTACAAATATGACTATCTATAAAATTACTCAAGATTTTCCTGGTTAATATCAGGAGGAAGACTGTGAGAAAGCCTACTTCAAAATGGACAATGTGCTGATAGATGACAGACGGATACATGTGGATTTTAGCCAGTCTGTCGCAAAGATCAAATGGAAGGGAAAAGGTAGGTATATTTGCAGCTCTTTGATCTTCATAACTTAATAAGCCATGACTTCTAAACTAAGCATTATATAAAGAGTTAGGGGTTTAAATCATGTGATCTTCAGGCATATAAATGTTCCTGCTACTCTAATAAATACAGCAACACGGTTGTTAGCTCTTCCTTTCGTTTCATAAGGAAAAGTAGAAGGGTTTCCTACTGTACAATGAACATTGCACTGCCACTGATTACCTTTTTAACCACTATTTTTGCCACCAGAAACATTTTTTTAATTTCAAAGTTTGTGTTGTTGTTTTTTTTTATATTACTTATTAGCAAAATAGTATGGCAGTACATTGTTATTTTCTGGTTTCTTTATTCACCGTATTACAGTCAGCTGTGTACAAGGGAAAGGTCAGTATTCAGGACAGAGATTTCTTCTCTTCACCTCCTGTAGTCAAACATACTACACGGCAGGTTGTATGTTACAAAAACAGAATTTCAGGTGTTTGAGGATGTTTTGGGAGGAAAAGGATGGTGGAAGAGGTGGATGCTTGATTTATTACTGGGGACATGAGGAAAACACTAGACTTGGAGAGGTGTCTGTGCATTTCATTTGTTCCATTCTGGTGTGTCTTCTTCTAAAAATGCAGTCAGCCCTCTGTTGTTGGCATGCAGTTTCTCCAGGTAGGGTTGTGGCTGTGAACACCCAAGATACAGGAACTCGTCCTGCACAGAGCTGAGATGATTCTGTATTCTGTCTATACCAGGTGCTGTAGTGCATCCTGTATTGGCTGCCTGCGTGGGAAACTTTATCTGAGGCCTAAACTGTTCAAAATATTGGAAAGCTAACTATGTTGCTGTCTTGTGCTTATATGGCACCCAAAAAATGCCCTTCCGTCCTCGGTTTCTGGCCGAGCCAGTGAGTGTTGCAGTTCTAAGCGTGGCCCAGAGAGGGCAGCAGGTTGCCGTAGTTTGTTGATAACATGTGCTGGTACTAAAGTGAGTGAGTGGTAACTGAAATCTATTGTGTCTCTCTTTAAATCTAGACGTGAACATTTTTTTCATAGTTTTCCATTTGAATTCTTGAGCTGTAGCTCCCTCAGAGGTTTCCCTCAGTGCAGACCAGAGCAGAAAGTCATTTGATAATGAGAACGGTCTGTGGGCTTTCATGGTAACAGAATTTTAAGTAATGTGATGTAGGACCTGTCATAGAAATGGGACTAAGCCAGTTGCTGAATCCTGCTTTGTGATCCTCTTTATGTGTTGTCTCCACTGGACATGAATGAGGAGGAAGCTGGATGTTGTTTAATGGAGTCTGTGAGCAAGAGGACAGAACATCACTACTTGTCCTACTCTCTTTACTCTCTTATGCAGATGTCAGTGTTGTTTCTGGAACTTTATCCTCCTGTGAAGCTCTCTAGGGTTATAAAGAGCCCCTAAAGCATCATCAGAACTTAATGATAGTTGTGGGTCTTGGCTGTGTTTGCAGTTAAAGTGAAATGAATATATTTTTCTTTGGACAGGTGGGCAGTATACCAAGGAAGATTTCAAGGACTATGAGAAGGAACGTGACAAACCTTCAAAATTTGCTCTGAAAGAAAAGGTGAAACCAAAGCAAGAGTATCCTTTTCTGGTCAGAGTTACTTTTTGAATTAAGCAGAGTTTATGAAAACAGCCTGGAAAAAACTTCTTATTTTTAAAGCCTGCCAAATGGATGTTTCCCTGCTTCCTCATATAACCATTTGAGTTTGATGTTGTATGCAGGTAAATAATGTTCTAAGTCCACAGCCCTGGAATGACATATGGCATAACAGAGTTTGTAAGTAGTTTCAGACGGGACCTTCTGCATCCAAAATGTGACCATACTAGTAATTTAATCATTCTCTAAGATAATACTTAGCTTGTGTGTAAGCATGAGAGAAAACACTGTAGCTTGTTCAGATATCCACAGGTTGAAAAGAAGGAAGAATGCAGCCTGGCTGTACTGTTTGACAGACTTCAGTCATTTTAGCACAGCTGATTTTTATTTTTTTTTTCAATGTGTACAGCTGTGTTCTGACTAAAATGTGTAGTCTTGGTAAAAAAATATGTAAGTCTTAGTAAACTCTTTTTGGGTAAGCAGGGATTGGTTTGCTTCCCAGGCTGTTGTGTTCTGCTCCCTATGATATTGAGAAACAGATCTGTCCTTAACCAGCACCATCAGTGCCAAGTATGACCTTGTGCTGGATGAGGATGTAGAAGAGTCTCACACAAGTCAGTCACACTTGGCTAAAAAACAGAAGAAGAAAAAGCACCACCACTCTGAAGATGAAGATGATGACAAGAGGACCAAAAAGTCTAAGGTACTTGACTCTTCATGAATTAACTTTATACCTGTTCATTGTTTTCCTCATAAAAGAAGCCAGGAAAAAAAGTCTGATATTGAATAAGGACACAGCATGCAAAGTCCTATGTGTAAAATACAGCAGTTATAAACCTCCAGAAGGCTGATGTTAATATTTGATTATGAAAGAGGATTTCAGAATCCTCATGGACTTTTGAAGCTTGGCATGTTTAGATGGATTTTTGCCAAAGCATCCTGAAGAGGCAGTGTAGCCTCTTTTGAAGTTGGGGATCTTCAGCACTTTGAACCTGTTTTTCCCATATTCCTAGTATTAAAGTAGTAGTTAACCATATTTCATGATTGTAGACTATGTCACATTTTCTTACCAGACCATCATATATTGAGTTTTTCCTATGTGGAGTTGGGAATACAGTCTCTTTATGTCACCTTTTTGTATTTGTCCTTAACTGTTTTGGAAGTGTTTTTGTAAAATTTGTGTGTGGGTTTGCTTGCATCCAGAATGTGCAAGCCTATGCTGCTGTGAGGCTGGGGCTGTGGAGGACAGCACCAGGAGACTGTAATTCTGTTATTCATTAGTTCCACTGCAGCCTGTCAGGATAGCATTCCCACATTTCTGTGAATTTGGGATACTTAAGATACGGTGCTTTGTGGAAACGAAGTCTGCAATAAGAAAGTGGAGGGTTAACCACCACTGAAGGGAGCATTTGGAAGAATTGAGCTAAGCTGAAAAATAAAAAAAAAAACCCCTCAGTATTTTAACAGTGCAAGCTTTATGAGTAAAAACAAAGCTGTCTTCTAGCAACTTTGCAGAAAGTGAAAAAGTTTCAGCCACAGAAAATAAGGCTATTGTCCCATGCTGAGTTTTGAGTACTGCTGAAAGTTAGTTCTGTGTATGCAAAGCATACATGATTCTGTTCTTATATATAATTTCTTGCTGTGATGCTTGAAAATAATTTTTCTCATGAACATCAGCAATTAGAATAGTGTCAGCAGTGAGCCTTATTGCTCATTCATGGACAGTCCTTTTGTCACTGTGCTAATTCAGTCAGGGCCCTTTGAGTGGAGGGGAGGAGCTTGTTCAGGTAAGTAAAGTCTTGACTGTAGCATGTGCACAGAAGAAGTGTGGACTAATGTTGGTTTAGACTTTCTCCTGTCTGTTTGGCTGATTGAAACTGTGGCTTTAGCCTTCTTGAAACAGGTATTTTTTGACTTAATCTTTGTTCCTGATGGTTCAGGAATTACACCCATGGAACTAGGTGGTAATACATCATTAGCAGAGAGCATTTTAAAATCATTTAGAAGTCTTCATCCCTGCAGGTGGCAGAACAACTGCTGGTGGCAGTAGGTTGTTAATATCTATTCTAATCATTGTAAAGGGATTGTGAGACTTCATAGCACAAAAACATGAATGAGGACAGAGGGATTCCTGGTGCTATTTTCAGGTTCTGGAGTAGAACATATTCTAATGCTTGTCTATGTGAACTCCTCTGTGTTAATGTGTATCTTTTTGTGATTCTGTCACCTGCTTCTGATGTGGTTTGTTCTCACTGCTGCTGCTCTGTTCTGGTATCTTCTTTCCCTCAGCTTTCTTCTCTCTGAGTCACTTTTACCCATTTTGCTGTAAGTACTTTAGCTTTCTTATGCCTGAAATCACAGGTGGAGGTTTACTTCTACTCTCTGATGTCAAGCATCGTAGTTCCCTCTTGGAGCTGTGAAAATTAATTTCTGGGAAGAACTTTTCTCTCTGAATTTGAATATTCTTGTTGGTGTGTACTGTACTGTATGCACATACTGAGTAGTATATAGTCAGTCTCACACAGACTCAGTATTTTGAGCATGGCCTCTCTAGTGAAATCTGCAGCCATCTTAGGTGGCAAATCCTGTTTAGCATATACAAAATTTTAATTTTGTTTTATTTTTTACTATTCATACATTGGGTATGTGAAACTAAAGGGAAGCAGGCATGTTCCTGAGATGGAATATATTCAATGTGAATATTGAGTTGAACACAAAGCATAACAGCATGGAAATTTTTTAGTGAATGGTAGCATATTGAATATCTCTCTGGGTTCTTTTCCTCAAGGTTGGGATTAGTGAGTGAGAGAGATGGTTTTTGTGTTCAGACTCAGTTGTTTATTTTTCATCTATATTACATTCTCACAAACAATGAGTTTGTCTACACACAGTCTAGAAAATGGAACCCCAACTATCTCTTTCCAAGGCTTTGGAAAGTGTCAACTACCCAATTATAAAATGCCAACTAATTTATTTTAACTTATAAGCCATTAACCAAACACTCATGTTGCTCACTGAGGATTTTTCTGTCCAATCACACAATATTACTAAAATTCATGAAGATGAAGGTGAAAGAGCAAGGCAAGTCAATGCCCTAAAACCTCTATCTTCTTGGATATGTATTACTGTATTCTAAAACCTTAAAGTCTTAATTTTCCACCAAGTGATATAGCACACTTCTATTCAAACACACTCACAGTTTCAGTTCTGTCTATGAGTTTTGGAAGACTTTTCCATGGCCTCAGGTCAAACACAGTGTTCTCTTGTAGGTCTGTGCCTGTCAACACAGAAAGCACGAAATTCTCTGTGTCCAGGGTTCCAACAGTAGCATTTTTAGTATAGGCAAACAAAGCATTCTCCCTTAACCCTGTCTTGTAAATCACTGAATGAATTTGAAGTAAGAACTTTAGAATAGAACAGCAGCAGACCTTCCACAACTCATCACCAAAGATCACAGTAGCCATGCTTCATACAGAAACTTCCACTGTGAGTCTGTAGTGTGGCAAAGATTTTAATTAAGAGAGATATGGGGCTTACAATGGGAAGTTCTGGCAACTGGAACTGCAGTTGGTGCTATCAACTCTAGCTATGACTTGAAGGGGTTTTCTTTTCTCCGTTGTTTCCATGATGTTGAGCTGTTTTTCTGTTCTCTTGCTGGTGTTACTTTTTTTCTTTAATATATTTTGACTCATCCTTTTCTCAGCCTGAGACCCGTTTCCTCAATCTTTGGTCTTTGTGTTGATGTTTCAAGAATATATTTTTGAGCCTTGTGCTCTTTGACTTCATTCCAGTGGGTAGAAGAGGTGGGGTGCTGTGGCTTGCTTTTGTAAGTAACAGGATGTGGGTCTGGGGCAGGAGGATGTGTTTATAATAGGATTTGGTAGAGTTTTTTTGAGTACAGGACATGCTTCCACCTTAGATCTGTATTATGACTTTGTTCGCTTTCCTGTTTTCTCTTGGATTTTATTTTTTAAGATAATTGGATCTGCAAAGCAGTATAGCCTATCCAGTAGATTTTTGTGAGACATAGGGACTTCCCAGTTTCAGATTTCTGTAGTGTATGGTTTTGGCAGAGGTACTGAGTTTTCTAGTTTTAATTTCCTGCTTTTACTGCTTATTGGACACTTTTCCCTTTATATTCAGGGTCAAGTTTTATCAAAATCTCCCCCCAGAAAAGGCTTTCTCTATTTGTTTGCTCCATTTAACCTTTAACTAGTGTATTTAATGTATGTAAGATATGCAGTCTACTTCTGTGGCCGTGATATTTCTAGCTATTTCACCTGCCACTGCTGTTTAACAAGTTACTACTTTTGGCAAAATCAGCCATGAACTTCCAGAGAAGCGTCTTTCCCTCTTACCTTATTTCCTTCCTCATGTGTGTTCCAACACAGTGCTGGGTTAAGAATTGGAGTGATCATCACTTACTCATTGACTGATGAGAGTCTGTGATCCTGGATTGAGAAATACAAATTTCAGACTGGAGAGGGAGAATTTCAGGGAGACTGTTTTTAAGTACAAATACTTTTCTTTTTCTTTCAAAAGAGTGCGTTTTTGACTTTCGGGCATAAAAGTTTGGTTCCAAAATACCATTATTTTTAGTAATTTAGTGTGTTTTAAAAATTGACCTTTTTCTATGCCAAAGACTTTAAAATGAAAAATGTTATTTAAGGGGAAATGTAATTTAAGCTTCAAGAAATAAAGGAGCAATTAATTCTATTAATTCAAGTTACAGATTTTTTTTTTTTATTGTGATCATATTAGCTACTGTGGTGACTTTATTGTATCATTTTCAGACTTGTTCTGTACACCTGAACTTTACATGCTTTTGTAAAGGTCACTGTGGTTTAACCCAATGCTGTATGACTTCTGATCCTTTCAGCAAGTTGCCCTTTTCTATGGCACTCAGCATGGGCTATTTGTCTGTAGTTCAAAATGGTCACTAACCTGTTCCCTGCCCTACTTGGCCAGTAGCCTTGTCTCCAGTGTTTACTTGGTAGATTGTTCAACTGAGTGCTGTCCTGCTTTTCTCCTGTTTCTCCCACATGCTGAGAGGAAACTCCAGCAACAAACCAGTTAGAGGGCAGCCATGCACCAAGCCCACCATTTGGTTTTCTGGACAATATTTTTTTGTTTTGGTTCCTGTATACCCCTCCACCAGCATGTCCATGTCAGGCCTTGTCACAGAGGGGCTTGAAACCTGGTGGCTTTTTCAAGCAAATGGAGAGTGAGGCTTTTGGGTGCAAGAGTAATATGGCTGTGCATCATTTTGAGAGTGGATGGACAAAGCTCTTAAAAGTAGCTGGAAGCACCACTGAGTCTTTTTGGTGGATGCCGGTTTTAACATCTGTACTGAAATAAAGTTTGCCAGTTAAGATGTGGAATAGGCATTTGGCCACCAGTGAGATGACTGTACCCAGCAGTAGCAGAATGTTTTTGTTATAGATCAAACTTGTGATTATTCATGTGTCTGTTTATCCAGGGGGTTTATGTTGCTTATTGTAACCCTAGTAATTTCAGCATTATTGATGTCATTCTGAAGGTGGTGTTTGCTCTGGGAACTACCCCAGTCACTGGCTTTCTGCATCAAATCTCTGTTTAAAGTAGAGTTTTTTCACTGTTCTTTTATATAATTGAAGTTTTTTTTCTTTGTACATGGAGTATGGGTTTTAACCATACGGTTGTGAAGGCTGCTGTCATGATACATCCTTAGAAAAATAATATCTGCAACGAGGAAAGAAATACTAAGTGATTTAATGCAGACATTTTTCTTAACTCACATTGATCTGTGCTTAACAGTGTTGCTATTAAAATCCCATAAAATTGTATCTTTCTATTAGATATTATTATGTGTAGATATATATATAATAATATATATCATTAGACATTAGTAGTATATAGAAATAATATATATATTATTATTATAATATATATATTATTATATATATATAGTATATATAGTAGTAGTATATAGAAATAATAATATAATCTAATAGATACAATTTTATGGTATTTTTAATAACAACACTGTTAAGCACAGATCAATATGAGTTATATATAATAAATTATTATTATTATTAATTCTATTCTTTTATTTCTATTATTTCTGTTACAGTGATATTAAACTGTCAGATTGTTCATTTTGCTGAAGCCTAGAATTTGGGACATTAAGAATTATTACAGGCAGGTCTTAAAATACGTTATGCATCTGCATAGCACTGGAATGCCTGTAGAGCTTGAACCAAAACTTAGGGAAATACTTGCATTGCTTAGGTGAAAAAATCCAAAATCCAAATCTAGCTTACATGCTTGTTTGATGCTTGATACTTGATAATATCCATCTGAACGGAATCCCTGATATAACCAATTTTTTCTAAAGCACCTGAGGCAGTACAAGAAGCGTGCCTGAGAGCCGTGCTTTTGTCTATAAACACTGTAAGTTGTTTATACACCTTACTTGTAAACTTATCTTCTTCAGGTGGTTTCAATGGTATTTTTGTGTTACCTTTTTCAAATCATTGTGGATGTGAATCTCTTTAGGGTAGTGCCAGCTGTAGCTAAGGAACCAGCCATGCTCGACTTTTCTCTAGTTCTCTTTGTGCCTCTATGTTTTCCCCTCTTGTTTGTAACTGCATTTCTGTCCAATTGAATTTGGCAGGATTCTGACCGAAAGCATGAAGAACGCTGTAGGGAGAGGACCAAGAGTGAGAAGAAAGACAGGCATCGGAGCCGCAGCCGTTCTCAGGAGAGAGATTACACTTACAGCAGACAAAAAGACAAATACAGAGAAGACATCCGAGTAAGAGACTGGGATAAAAAAGCAGACAGGAGCAGAAGTCCTAAGAAATCCAAAGACAAAGAAAGGTCCAAGTACAGATGAAGGACATGGAAAGGACAGAGGGGAATTAAAATAATAAATTTAACTTTTTTCTTTTGTGATAGTGGTTTTTCTGTAATACTTGCTGTAGTGTCTGACTGCAATATGCAGTAAGATTTTATAGCTTGATACCTCTCATTCAAACATCATCTGCTGATTCTAAAATTCAAGATGAATTACTGCAAATTGCTCTGCCCTGGAGTGCCAGTAGTTGTGCCGGGATAGAGTATTTCAAAGGACTGTGAAGAATGAGAACTTCTTATTAAGATGATTCAATGGGAAGGCTGATATTTAAGGAACATAATCAGCTGAAGCTATGCTATGGAAGAAAATTCTGATTAAGCAGGCCAGGTGGGAAGGCTATAATCTTCAGACCTAAGCTGAGCAGGAATACTGAGGGGATTCAATACAGGCATGTGCTTTCCAGCAGCATCTGCCCAGTCTTTGCTTTCTTAAAAACAAAGCTGGAGTCCAACATCTTTGGTGCTTGTGGTAGTTAGAAAACAGAACAAAAATCCCCCACCTTCCTGTAATGTTGAAAATAGCATCGAAAATGTAACAGCAGAGACATCAGCTTCTTCACTTTGACATAGCTGAGACCTATTTGAAGGGGAATGCCCTATGCTTAAGGCTCTTTGTTCATTAGTTGAAGGCTTAGAAACCAGCTCCTCAGAGTTTTCTATTGTGTTCCTTTACTTGCAACAGCTTAAAAACGTGCTGTAGACTCTAAATTGTTTTATTCTGTGGATTTGGGTGAGTTTGAGACCTATTAGGTTGTCACGCATTACAATTCCTTTAGTTCTTTGTGGCCTTGAGCTTGAGTCCAAGATTTGGAGTGGACATGACCAAATACAGAAAGTGTACTTGGCTAAGAAGCTGCCCTTTGATGAATCTAACTTTTGTGTCCTTCAAAGCATAGAACTAGAAATCCAGAGCTTCCATAACTGTCTCCTAGCAAAACATTTCTAACTGAGACCCTACAGGGGTTGGGGCCATCCTTGCAGAGTCTGCGCGAGAGCCCTCTGTCCCAGAGGAGAGCTAAACAGGAAGCCTGTTCCTGGAAGTCTCTTGGGGAATCTGGGGCTGAGGACTGCTCACTGTTCCTGACAAGAAAATTCCTGCCTTCATTCTGGGCATAAGAAGACTCCAAAGAACTGTACTAGGTCGGGATATGGTGCCTTTGGAGTGGTGCTGTGGAGGCAGTATGTTGTCTTGAGCTCTTCCTGCTCTTGGCCTGCTGTTAAAGGAACAGGGTTTGCACTGTCATACTGTTCTCAGTCCTGCTGTCCTTTTCCACACAGCATTTTTAACTTGCAAAAAGAAAGCACTGGCCAGATTTGGCAAGGATGTGGAGATAGGAAAGCAATTGCATTCTTGCTTTCTTTAGGAAATGGCAGTCATAGAAACTAACAAAAGCTTCCAGTTGTGGAGAATGCTGGATTCTTGCTGAACATAAGAGGTCCTCTTATTGAGGAGTTGTGACTTAACATCACAAAGAGTTTCAGCAGCCATTCCTAGGCTTCAGCTAGCCCTCAGCTAGCTGTGGGACATACAAAACTTACTGATGTTTAGAAACAGCCAATTTCAGGTGAATGTGCTCACTTTTCTGCAGCATAAACAGCTTTTCTTTGCAACAGGTAAATGCTTAAGAACTGAAAGTTTAAAATAGTAGTATATGGAAGTAACTAATCCATTTTCATTGATGGATAAAGAGTCTTCAGAATAAAGAGTTAAAAAAACAGTACATCCAAAAGTTTTCAAGTTTCTGATTTTCAGTATACCTTGGTGCTGTCAAAGATACACAGTGTCTTCAGATTAGCGAAATTACCTGTTTATATTTTTTAAGAGGAAGCTTTCAAATGTGGATGTTCAAAAATAAGGTGATACTAATAGGTAATTAAATGACAGTATAAAAGCTTCCAATTTGGATGTGAGTGCTTAATTTTAGGGCTGCATTTCTAGGCTAGTCTGTTGACACTGGAGAGATTGCAGTTCACCTGGCATATAGACAGCCAAGCACTCTGGGTTAGATGGGGTTTACTCCTCTGGTCATCGGAAATAGTTGTTGTGTACATGTGGTTCTTCTGGAAATGGCACCAGCAAGCTGTATGGCCACTTGAAACCACAAGCATTTCCTGTTCTTCCTGTCCAGCCAGAGGTGTTGGAGTGGACAGGACTTTTTATTTGGGGATTCTATTATTTAGTGTGGGAGTTGAAGACTTGTTTTAATCTAATGAGAAGTCACACTTCCCTGTCACTTCCTTTTCGTCAGTGCCATCTCCGACCTCAGTTTCAGTATTGACCTGTGGTGCTTGTGGTAATTAAAAAATGCAACAAAAAACCCCACCTTCCTCTATAATGTTAAAAATAGGATTGAAAATGTGTTGTAGCAGAAGCATCAGCTTCTTCACTTTGACTTAGATGATGCTTGTTTGGAGGGGAATGCCTCATGCTTTAGGCTGTTTGTTCAGTGGTTAAAGGTTTAACCAGCTCCTCAGAGTTTCCTATTGGATTCCTTTACCTGCAACAGCTTAAAAATATGATGTAGTCTGAACTGTTTTATTCTGTGGATTTGAGTGAGTTTGAGACCTATGTCATGTGTTGTAGTTTCTCTAGTTCTCTGTAGATCTCTTGAACTTGGGTCCAAGACTTGGAGTGGACTTGGCCAAAACCATGTTACGAATAGGACCTGGTCATAGAACGCTAAAGGCAAGTGGGAGAAGGGTAGGTTGAAACAGAGATCTCTCTTTAATCCCACTGACATCACACAAGTCATTGGAAGTAGCACAAATGTTGTATGCAAGTGATTGGTATTGCAGGATGGGAGTTGCCCAAAGCCAGTCATGGTAACCCTGTACTCTCTGTTGGTAAAGCTCTACCTGCTTCCTTCCACTTGTCAAAAAAACACCCAACCCTAACAACCACACAAACAAACCAAACCATATCAAATTCNCTGCAGGCTCCCAGATCCTACACTGTCTCTGTGTGTGGGTGAAATTGGCATTGTGTGCCACTCTTACAGCTCCAGCATGATTTCTCTGTGCCCTAAGAATTTCTAATTCTTGTTCCTTTGTCAGAGCTGTCACTCTTCTTCTTCCACTTTGAGATAGGTTCTCTGAATAATCCATGAAGGAGGATTCTTGCACAAAATCATTCTGCCTTCTGCTGCAAAGAATTCCTATAGCTTGTCTGAATAGCCTTATGGTCTACTTTTCTTCTTTTTCCCCCCAGCTTTTTTTTTTGTTCTTTTGGCCTCAATCATCTTTTTGATTGTGGATCCTGATTTGTCAATTCCTCTCTACATGTGAGGGAGGTCTCACATATTCTGATTTGTCACTTCCTCTCTACATGTGGGGGAGGTCTCACATTATTCTCACCTTAATGCCACATATCCTGCCTTTGTTACCTGTGTACCCTCCTCCAGCATCCTGTAGTCAGAATTCTTATGTCTCGTACAAGAATTGTGTAATACTGCTACAATACTATATTCTTCCCATTTTGCACTACTTACTCAATATTTTTAGGCTTCTTATTTTGTCCTGTGTGAAAAAAGATGGGCTGCTGGAGAGGTGTTTGCTAAAAAAAGAAAGTTTGTCACAGGATGTTTGTTTAAACTTTGTTTAAAATGACAGAGAAAACAGAATGTGAAATTTCCTGTCTTGCATTAGTGAAATGCAAAAACATAAAAACTAGCAGTAATGTTGGAAAATATATTTTGTTTCAATGGTTAGAAATTAATCTCTAGTTCTGTGCTTTGTGGTAACTGTGTGTGAGTTTAGTGTAATTCCTCAAAGCAGTGTCTCATGCATTTTTTCTTGTAGTAACGCAACTCAGAATCAAGTGTTCTAATACCCTCGAGGTGTTTTGGTTTTGTGGGTTGGGGCTTCTTGGGTTATTTTTTTAACTCTTACTCTCCCTTTTCTGCAGTGTTTTCCTATCCTACATTTTTTGCTCCAGCAGTGTTGACATTTTAATTTTGTATCATTTTTTCAGTTGTGAAGTGATCCGAGACTGGAAGACTGGTGAATCTCTTTGTTATGCTTTCATTGAGTTCGAAAAGGTACGGGGTTTAAGTATAAACTGTATGTAAATCCTGCTTTGTAAAAGCCTCTTCTTGGTATACTTTCATTTAGGAAAAACACTGACCTCTTCAAGTGTGGAGTAGCTAATATTTTCTCTTACTGAGAGAAACTATAACTTAGTTACAGAAGTTGTAGGTCCTAAATGAGGCAAGTATTTAAGTCTTTCTCTAAGCAGACAGTACTTCGGCTGTCTTGAAACCAGTGGGAGGGGATCAGGCCCTTTTTTCCCCCAGAGCACATGAAGACATTCAAGAGTTAAAGGAAGGAGTGCTAGGAGCATGCAGCATAAAGAGAGGAGGATGTATGGAATAACATAGATCCAAGTGTACAGTAGTTTTCTGGGCTTGTAAATGCTGCTTGCTGTATCAACACACCGCTCTTACTGTGAGATTGGTGACGATAGTTCTCTTGGTGGTGCATAGCTTTATGTGTGCTGGTATCTCTCATCTGTGAGGAGAATACTGGTAAGTGTTCTCACTTTTCTTTAGCTTACTTATGTAGTTAAAATGGAACTTTTATCAGTTGTCCTCATTTCCTTTTTTCTTTCTGAATGTGTTACATGTGCCAAACATGTAGCTGGATTGGCAAATTTTTAAAATAGTGAAATGAACTGAAGAATTGGGAATTGAAATGCTGATATTCAGACAAAGCATAACTATTTCTTTTGAAATCATACAGTTTAAGAACTGTGGTGCTTTAGGCAATTTCAGAAAGAAATGTATGCCACTAAGTATTAGAATTTGTGTTTGAGCTCCTCAGTGAACATTCCTATGAAATAATTTATCTACAAATATGACTATCTATAAAATTACTCAAGATTTTCCTGGTTAATATCAGGAGGAAGACTGTGAGAAAGCCTACTTCAAAATGGACAATGTGCTGATAGATGACAGACGGATACATGTGGATTTTAGCCAGTCTGTCGCAAAGATCAAATGGAAGGGAAAAGGTAGGTATATTTGCAGCTCTTTGATCTTCATAACTTAATAAGCCATGACTTCTAAACTAAGCATTATATAAAGAGTTAGGGGTTTAAATCATGTGATCTTCAGGCATATAAATGTTCCTGCTACTCTAATAAATACAGCAACACGGTTGTTAGCTCTTCCTTTCGTTTCATAAGGAAAAGTAGAAGGGTTTCCTACTGTACAATGAACATTGCACTGCCACTGATTACCTTTTTAACCACTATTTTTGCCACCAGAAACATTTTTTTAATTTCAAAGTTTGTGTTGTTGTTTTTTTTTATATTACTTATTAGCAAAATAGTATGGCAGTACATTGTTATTTTCTGGTTTCTTTATTCACCGTATTACAGTCAGCTGTGTACAAGGGAAAGGTCAGTATTCAGGACAGAGATTTCTTCTCTTCACCTCCTGTAGTCAAACATACTACACGGCAGGTTGTATGTTACAAAAACAGAATTTCAGGTGTTTGAGGATGTTTTGGGAGGAAAAGGATGGTGGAAGAGGTGGATGCTTGATTTATTACTGGGGACATGAGGAAAACACTAGACTTGGAGAGGTGTCTGTGCATTTCATTTGTTCCATTCTGGTGTGTCTTCTTCTAAAAATGCAGTCAGCCCTCTGTTGTTGGCATGCAGTTTCTCCAGGTAGGGTTGTGGCTGTGAACACCCAAGATACAGGAACTCGTCCTGCACAGAGCTGAGATGATTCTGTATTCTGTCTATACCAGGTGCTGTAGTGCATCCTGTATTGGCTGCCTGCGTGGGAAACTTTATCTGAGGCCTAAACTGTTCAAAATATTGGAAAGCTAACTATGTTGCTGTCTTGTGCTTATATGGCACCCAAAAAATGCCCTTCCGTCCTCGGTTTCTGGCCGAGCCAGTGAGTGTTGCAGTTCTAAGCGTGGCCCAGAGAGGGCAGCAGGTTGCCGTAGTTTGTTGATAACATGTGCTGGTACTAAAGTGAGTGAGTGGTAACTGAAATCTATTGTGTCTCTCTTTAAATCTAGACGTGAACATTTTTTTCATAGTTTTCCATTTGAATTCTTGAGCTGTAGCTCCCTCAGAGGTTTCCCTCAGTGCAGACCAGAGCAGAAAGTCATTTGATAATGAGAACGGTCTGTGGGCTTTCATGGTAACAGAATTTTAAGTAATGTGATGTAGGACCTGTCATAGAAATGGGACTAAGCCAGTTGCTGAATCCTGCTTTGTGATCCTCTTTATGTGTTGTCTCCACTGGACATGAATGAGGAGGAAGCTGGATGTTGTTTAATGGAGTCTGTGAGCAAGAGGACAGAACATCACTACTTGTCCTACTCTCTTTACTCTCTTATGCAGATGTCAGTGTTGTTTCTGGAACTTTATCCTCCTGTGAAGCTCTCTAGGGTTATAAAGAGCCCCTAAAGCATCATCAGAACTTAATGATAGTTGTGGGTCTTGGCTGTGTTTGCAGTTAAAGTGAAATGAATATATTTTTCTTTGGACAGGTGGGCAGTATACCAAGGAAGATTTCAAGGACTATGAGAAGGAACGTGACAAACCTTCAAAATTTGCTCTGAAAGAAAAGGTGAAACCAAAGCAAGAGTATCCTTTTCTGGTCAGAGTTACTTTTTGAATTAAGCAGAGTTTATGAAAACAGCCTGGAAAAAACTTCTTATTTTTAAAGCCTGCCAAATGGATGTTTCCCTGCTTCCTCATATAACCATTTGAGTTTGATGTTGTATGCAGGTAAATAATGTTCTAAGTCCACAGCCCTGGAATGACATATGGCATAACAGAGTTTGTAAGTAGTTTCAGACGGGACCTTCTGCATCCAAAATGTGACCATACTAGTAATTTAATCATTCTCTAAGATAATACTTAGCTTGTGTGTAAGCATGAGAGAAAACACTGTAGCTTGTTCAGATATCCACAGGTTGAAAAGAAGGAAGAATGCAGCCTGGCTGTACTGTTTGACAGACTTCAGTCATTTTAGCACAGCTGATTTTTATTTTTTTTTTCAATGTGTACAGCTGTGTTCTGACTAAAATGTGTAGTCTTGGTAAAAAAATATGTAAGTCTTAGTAAACTCTTTTTGGGTAAGCAGGGATTGGTTTGCTTCCCAGGCTGTTGTGTTCTGCTCCCTATGATATTGAGAAACAGATCTGTCCTTAACCAGCACCATCAGTGCCAAGTATGACCTTGTGCTGGATGAGGATGTAGAAGAGTCTCACACAAGTCAGTCACACTTGGCTAAAAAACAGAAGAAGAAAAAGCACCACCACTCTGAAGATGAAGATGATGACAAGAGGACCAAAAAGTCTAAGGTACTTGACTCTTCATGAATTAACTTTATACCTGTTCATTGTTTTCCTCATAAAAGAAGCCAGGAAAAAAAGTCTGATATTGAATAAGGACACAGCATGCAAAGTCCTATGTGTAAAATACAGCAGTTATAAACCTCCAGAAGGCTGATGTTAATATTTGATTATGAAAGAGGATTTCAGAATCCTCATGGACTTTTGAAGCTTGGCATGTTTAGATGGATTTTTGCCAAAGCATCCTGAAGAGGCAGTGTAGCCTCTTTTGAAGTTGGGGATCTTCAGCACTTTGAACCTGTTTTTCCCATATTCCTAGTATTAAAGTAGTAGTTAACCATATTTCATGATTGTAGACTATGTCACATTTTCTTACCAGACCATCATATATTGAGTTTTTCCTATGTGGAGTTGGGAATACAGTCTCTTTATGTCACCTTTTTGTATTTGTCCTTAACTGTTTTGGAAGTGTTTTTGTAAAATTTGTGTGTGGGTTTGCTTGCATCCAGAATGTGCAAGCCTATGCTGCTGTGAGGCTGGGGCTGTGGAGGACAGCACCAGGAGACTGTAATTCTGTTATTCATTAGTTCCACTGCAGCCTGTCAGGATAGCATTCCCACATTTCTGTGAATTTGGGATACTTAAGATACGGTGCTTTGTGGAAACGAAGTCTGCAATAAGAAAGTGGAGGGTTAACCACCACTGAAGGGAGCATTTGGAAGAATTGAGCTAAGCTGAAAAATAAAAAAAAAAACCCCTCAGTATTTTAACAGTGCAAGCTTTATGAGTAAAAACAAAGCTGTCTTCTAGCAACTTTGCAGAAAGTGAAAAAGTTTCAGCCACAGAAAATAAGGCTATTGTCCCATGCTGAGTTTTGAGTACTGCTGAAAGTTAGTTCTGTGTATGCAAAGCATACATGATTCTGTTCTTATATATAATTTCTTGCTGTGATGCTTGAAAATAATTTTTCTCATGAACATCAGCAATTAGAATAGTGTCAGCAGTGAGCCTTATTGCTCATTCATGGACAGTCCTTTTGTCACTGTGCTAATTCAGTCAGGGCCCTTTGAGTGGAGGGGAGGAGCTTGTTCAGGTAAGTAAAGTCTTGACTGTAGCATGTGCACAGAAGAAGTGTGGACTAATGTTGGTTTAGACTTTCTCCTGTCTGTTTGGCTGATTGAAACTGTGGCTTTAGCCTTCTTGAAACAGGTATTTTTTGACTTAATCTTTGTTCCTGATGGTTCAGGAATTACACCCATGGAACTAGGTGGTAATACATCATTAGCAGAGAGCATTTTAAAATCATTTAGAAGTCTTCATCCCTGCAGGTGGCAGAACAACTGCTGGTGGCAGTAGGTTGTTAATATCTATTCTAATCATTGTAAAGGGATTGTGAGACTTCATAGCACAAAAACATGAATGAGGACAGAGGGATTCCTGGTGCTATTTTCAGGTTCTGGAGTAGAACATATTCTAATGCTTGTCTATGTGAACTCCTCTGTGTTAATGTGTATCTTTTTGTGATTCTGTCACCTGCTTCTGATGTGGTTTGTTCTCACTGCTGCTGCTCTGTTCTGGTATCTTCTTTCCCTCAGCTTTCTTCTCTCTGAGTCACTTTTACCCATTTTGCTGTAAGTACTTTAGCTTTCTTATGCCTGAAATCACAGGTGGAGGTTTACTTCTACTCTCTGATGTCAAGCATCGTAGTTCCCTCTTGGAGCTGTGAAAATTAATTTCTGGGAAGAACTTTTCTCTCTGAATTTGAATATTCTTGTTGGTGTGTACTGTACTGTATGCACATACTGAGTAGTATATAGTCAGTCTCACACAGACTCAGTATTTTGAGCATGGCCTCTCTAGTGAAATCTGCAGCCATCTTAGGTGGCAAATCCTGTTTAGCATATACAAAATTTTAATTTTGTTTTATTTTTTACTATTCATACATTGGGTATGTGAAACTAAAGGGAAGCAGGCATGTTCCTGAGATGGAATATATTCAATGTGAATATTGAGTTGAACACAAAGCATAACAGCATGGAAATTTTTTAGTGAATGGTAGCATATTGAATATCTCTCTGGGTTCTTTTCCTCAAGGTTGGGATTAGTGAGTGAGAGAGATGGTTTTTGTGTTCAGACTCAGTTGTTTATTTTTCATCTATATTACATTCTCACAAACAATGAGTTTGTCTACACACAGTCTAGAAAATGGAACCCCAACTATCTCTTTCCAAGGCTTTGGAAAGTGTCAACTACCCAATTATAAAATGCCAACTAATTTATTTTAACTTATAAGCCATTAACCAAACACTCATGTTGCTCACTGAGGATTTTTCTGTCCAATCACACAATATTACTAAAATTCATGAAGATGAAGGTGAAAGAGCAAGGCAAGTCAATGCCCTAAAACCTCTATCTTCTTGGATATGTATTACTGTATTCTAAAACCTTAAAGTCTTAATTTTCCACCAAGTGATATAGCACACTTCTATTCAAACACACTCACAGTTTCAGTTCTGTCTATGAGTTTTGGAAGACTTTTCCATGGCCTCAGGTCAAACACAGTGTTCTCTTGTAGGTCTGTGCCTGTCAACACAGAAAGCACGAAATTCTCTGTGTCCAGGGTTCCAACAGTAGCATTTTTAGTATAGGCAAACAAAGCATTCTCCCTTAACCCTGTCTTGTAAATCACTGAATGAATTTGAAGTAAGAACTTTAGAATAGAACAGCAGCAGACCTTCCACAACTCATCACCAAAGATCACAGTAGCCATGCTTCATACAGAAACTTCCACTGTGAGTCTGTAGTGTGGCAAAGATTTTAATTAAGAGAGATATGGGGCTTACAATGGGAAGTTCTGGCAACTGGAACTGCAGTTGGTGCTATCAACTCTAGCTATGACTTGAAGGGGTTTTCTTTTCTCCGTTGTTTCCATGATGTTGAGCTGTTTTTCTGTTCTCTTGCTGGTGTTACTTTTTTTCTTTAATATATTTTGACTCATCCTTTTCTCAGCCTGAGACCCGTTTCCTCAATCTTTGGTCTTTGTGTTGATGTTTCAAGAATATATTTTTGAGCCTTGTGCTCTTTGACTTCATTCCAGTGGGTAGAAGAGGTGGGGTGCTGTGGCTTGCTTTTGTAAGTAACAGGATGTGGGTCTGGGGCAGGAGGATGTGTTTATAATAGGATTTGGTAGAGTTTTTTTGAGTACAGGACATGCTTCCACCTTAGATCTGTATTATGACTTTGTTCGCTTTCCTGTTTTCTCTTGGATTTTATTTTTTAAGATAATTGGATCTGCAAAGCAGTATAGCCTATCCAGTAGATTTTTGTGAGACATAGGGACTTCCCAGTTTCAGATTTCTGTAGTGTATGGTTTTGGCAGAGGTACTGAGTTTTCTAGTTTTAATTTCCTGCTTTTACTGCTTATTGGACACTTTTCCCTTTATATTCAGGGTCAAGTTTTATCAAAATCTCCCCCCAGAAAAGGCTTTCTCTATTTGTTTGCTCCATTTAACCTTTAACTAGTGTATTTAATGTATGTAAGATATGCAGTCTACTTCTGTGGCCGTGATATTTCTAGCTATTTCACCTGCCACTGCTGTTTAACAAGTTACTACTTTTGGCAAAATCAGCCATGAACTTCCAGAGAAGCGTCTTTCCCTCTTACCTTATTTCCTTCCTCATGTGTGTTCCAACACAGTGCTGGGTTAAGAATTGGAGTGATCATCACTTACTCATTGACTGATGAGAGTCTGTGATCCTGGATTGAGAAATACAAATTTCAGACTGGAGAGGGAGAATTTCAGGGAGACTGTTTTTAAGTACAAATACTTTTCTTTTTCTTTCAAAAGAGTGCGTTTTTGACTTTCGGGCATAAAAGTTTGGTTCCAAAATACCATTATTTTTAGTAATTTAGTGTGTTTTAAAAATTGACCTTTTTCTATGCCAAAGACTTTAAAATGAAAAATGTTATTTAAGGGGAAATGTAATTTAAGCTTCAAGAAATAAAGGAGCAATTAATTCTATTAATTCAAGTTACAGATTTTTTTTTTTTATTGTGATCATATTAGCTACTGTGGTGACTTTATTGTATCATTTTCAGACTTGTTCTGTACACCTGAACTTTACATGCTTTTGTAAAGGTCACTGTGGTTTAACCCAATGCTGTATGACTTCTGATCCTTTCAGCAAGTTGCCCTTTTCTATGGCACTCAGCATGGGCTATTTGTCTGTAGTTCAAAATGGTCACTAACCTGTTCCCTGCCCTACTTGGCCAGTAGCCTTGTCTCCAGTGTTTACTTGGTAGATTGTTCAACTGAGTGCTGTCCTGCTTTTCTCCTGTTTCTCCCACATGCTGAGAGGAAACTCCAGCAACAAACCAGTTAGAGGGCAGCCATGCACCAAGCCCACCATTTGGTTTTCTGGACAATATTTTTTTGTTTTGGTTCCTGTATACCCCTCCACCAGCATGTCCATGTCAGGCCTTGTCACAGAGGGGCTTGAAACCTGGTGGCTTTTTCAAGCAAATGGAGAGTGAGGCTTTTGGGTGCAAGAGTAATATGGCTGTGCATCATTTTGAGAGTGGATGGACAAAGCTCTTAAAAGTAGCTGGAAGCACCACTGAGTCTTTTTGGTGGATGCCGGTTTTAACATCTGTACTGAAATAAAGTTTGCCAGTTAAGATGTGGAATAGGCATTTGGCCACCAGTGAGATGACTGTACCCAGCAGTAGCAGAATGTTTTTGTTATAGATCAAACTTGTGATTATTCATGTGTCTGTTTATCCAGGGGGTTTATGTTGCTTATTGTAACCCTAGTAATTTCAGCATTATTGATGTCATTCTGAAGGTGGTGTTTGCTCTGGGAACTACCCCAGTCACTGGCTTTCTGCATCAAATCTCTGTTTAAAGTAGAGTTTTTTCACTGTTCTTTTATATAATTGAAGTTTTTTTTCTTTGTACATGGAGTATGGGTTTTAACCATACGGTTGTGAAGGCTGCTGTCATGATACATCCTTAGAAAAATAATATCTGCAACGAGGAAAGAAATACTAAGTGATTTAATGCAGACATTTTTCTTAACTCACATTGATCTGTGCTTAACAGTGTTGCTATTAAAATCCCATAAAATTGTATCTTTCTATTAGATATTATTATGTGTAGATATATATATAATAATATATATCATTAGACATTAGTAGTATATAGAAATAATATATATATTATTATTATAATATATATATTATTATATATATATAGTATATATAGTAGTAGTATATAGAAATAATAATATAATCTAATAGATACAATTTTATGGTATTTTTAATAACAACACTGTTAAGCACAGATCAATATGAGTTATATATAATAAATTATTATTATTATTAATTCTATTCTTTTATTTCTATTATTTCTGTTACAGTGATATTAAACTGTCAGATTGTTCATTTTGCTGAAGCCTAGAATTTGGGACATTAAGAATTATTACAGGCAGGTCTTAAAATACGTTATGCATCTGCATAGCACTGGAATGCCTGTAGAGCTTGAACCAAAACTTAGGGAAATACTTGCATTGCTTAGGTGAAAAAATCCAAAATCCAAATCTAGCTTACATGCTTGTTTGATGCTTGATACTTGATAATATCCATCTGAACGGAATCCCTGATATAACCAATTTTTTCTAAAGCACCTGAGGCAGTACAAGAAGCGTGCCTGAGAGCCGTGCTTTTGTCTATAAACACTGTAAGTTGTTTATACACCTTACTTGTAAACTTATCTTCTTCAGGTGGTTTCAATGGTATTTTTGTGTTACCTTTTTCAAATCATTGTGGATGTGAATCTCTTTAGGGTAGTGCCAGCTGTAGCTAAGGAACCAGCCATGCTCGACTTTTCTCTAGTTCTCTTTGTGCCTCTATGTTTTCCCCTCTTGTTTGTAACTGCATTTCTGTCCAATTGAATTTGGCAGGATTCTGACCGAAAGCATGAAGAACGCTGTAGGGAGAGGACCAAGAGTGAGAAGAAAGACAGGCATCGGAGCCGCAGCCGTTCTCAGGAGAGAGATTACACTTACAGCAGACAAAAAGACAAATACAGAGAAGACATCCGAGTAAGAGACTGGGATAAAAAAGCAGACAGGAGCAGAAGTCCTAAGAAATCCAAAGACAAAGAAAGGTCCAAGTACAGATGAAGGACATGGAAAGGACAGAGGGGAATTAAAATAATAAATTTAACTTTTTTCTTTTGTGATAGTGGTTTTTCTGTAATACTTGCTGTAGTGTCTGACTGCAATATGCAGTAAGATTTTATAGCTTGATACCTCTCATTCAAACATCATCTGCTGATTCTAAAATTCAAGATGAATTACTGCAAATTGCTCTGCCCTGGAGTGCCAGTAGTTGTGCCGGGATAGAGTATTTCAAAGGACTGTGAAGAATGAGAACTTCTTATTAAGATGATTCAATGGGAAGGCTGATATTTAAGGAACATAATCAGCTGAAGCTATGCTATGGAAGAAAATTCTGATTAAGCAGGCCAGGTGGGAAGGCTATAATCTTCAGACCTAAGCTGAGCAGGAATACTGAGGGGATTCAATACAGGCATGTGCTTTCCAGCAGCATCTGCCCAGTCTTTGCTTTCTTAAAAACAAAGCTGGAGTCCAACATCTTTGGTGCTTGTGGTAGTTAGAAAACAGAACAAAAATCCCCCACCTTCCTGTAATGTTGAAAATAGCATCGAAAATGTAACAGCAGAGACATCAGCTTCTTCACTTTGACATAGCTGAGACCTATTTGAAGGGGAATGCCCTATGCTTAAGGCTCTTTGTTCATTAGTTGAAGGCTTAGAAACCAGCTCCTCAGAGTTTTCTATTGTGTTCCTTTACTTGCAACAGCTTAAAAACGTGCTGTAGACTCTAAATTGTTTTATTCTGTGGATTTGGGTGAGTTTGAGACCTATTAGGTTGTCACGCATTACAATTCCTTTAGTTCTTTGTGGCCTTGAGCTTGAGTCCAAGATTTGGAGTGGACATGACCAAATACAGAAAGTGTACTTGGCTAAGAAGCTGCCCTTTGATGAATCTAACTTTTGTGTCCTTCAAAGCATAGAACTAGAAATCCAGAGCTTCCATAACTGTCTCCTAGCAAAACATTTCTAACTGAGACCCTACAGGGGTTGGGGCCATCCTTGCAGAGTCTGCGCGAGAGCCCTCTGTCCCAGAGGAGAGCTAAACAGGAAGCCTGTTCCTGGAAGTCTCTTGGGGAATCTGGGGCTGAGGACTGCTCACTGTTCCTGACAAGAAAATTCCTGCCTTCATTCTGGGCATAAGAAGACTCCAAAGAACTGTACTAGGTCGGGATATGGTGCCTTTGGAGTGGTGCTGTGGAGGCAGTATGTTGTCTTGAGCTCTTCCTGCTCTTGGCCTGCTGTTAAAGGAACAGGGTTTGCACTGTCATACTGTTCTCAGTCCTGCTGTCCTTTTCCACACAGCATTTTTAACTTGCAAAAAGAAAGCACTGGCCAGATTTGGCAAGGATGTGGAGATAGGAAAGCAATTGCATTCTTGCTTTCTTTAGGAAATGGCAGTCATAGAAACTAACAAAAGCTTCCAGTTGTGGAGAATGCTGGATTCTTGCTGAACATAAGAGGTCCTCTTATTGAGGAGTTGTGACTTAACATCACAAAGAGTTTCAGCAGCCATTCCTAGGCTTCAGCTAGCCCTCAGCTAGCTGTGGGACATACAAAACTTACTGATGTTTAGAAACAGCCAATTTCAGGTGAATGTGCTCACTTTTCTGCAGCATAAACAGCTTTTCTTTGCAACAGGTAAATGCTTAAGAACTGAAAGTTTAAAATAGTAGTATATGGAAGTAACTAATCCATTTTCATTGATGGATAAAGAGTCTTCAGAATAAAGAGTTAAAAAAACAGTACATCCAAAAGTTTTCAAGTTTCTGATTTTCAGTATACCTTGGTGCTGTCAAAGATACACAGTGTCTTCAGATTAGCGAAATTACCTGTTTATATTTTTTAAGAGGAAGCTTTCAAATGTGGATGTTCAAAAATAAGGTGATACTAATAGGTAATTAAATGACAGTATAAAAGCTTCCAATTTGGATGTGAGTGCTTAATTTTAGGGCTGCATTTCTAGGCTAGTCTGTTGACACTGGAGAGATTGCAGTTCACCTGGCATATAGACAGCCAAGCACTCTGGGTTAGATGGGGTTTACTCCTCTGGTCATCGGAAATAGTTGTTGTGTACATGTGGTTCTTCTGGAAATGGCACCAGCAAGCTGTATGGCCACTTGAAACCACAAGCATTTCCTGTTCTTCCTGTCCAGCCAGAGGTGTTGGAGTGGACAGGACTTTTTATTTGGGGATTCTATTATTTAGTGTGGGAGTTGAAGACTTGTTTTAATCTAATGAGAAGTCACACTTCCCTGTCACTTCCTTTTCGTCAGTGCCATCTCCAACCTCAGTTTCAGTATTGACCTGTGGTGCCTGTGGTAATTAAAAAATGCAACAAAAAACCCCACCTTCCTCTATAATGTTAAAAATAGGATTGAAAATGTGTTGTAGCAGAAGCATCAGCTTCTTCACTTTGACTTAGATGATGCTTGTTTGGAGGGGAATGCCTCATGCTTTAGGCTGTTTGTTCAGTGGTTAAAGGTTTAACCAGCTCCTCAGAGTTTCCTATTGGATTCCTTTACCTGCAACAGCTTAAAAATATGATGTAGTCTGAACTGTTTTATTCTGTGGATTTGAGTGAGTTTGAGACCTATGTCATGTGTTGTAGTTTCTCTAGTTCTCTGTAGATCTCTTGAACTTGGGTCCAAGACTTGGAGTGGACTTGGCCAAAACCATGTTACGAATAGGACCTGGTCGTAGAGCACTAAAGGCAAGTGGGAGAAGGGTAGGTTGAAACAGAGATCTCTCTTTAATCCCACTGACATCACACAAGTCATTGGAAGTAGCACAAATGTTGTATGCAAGTGATTGGTATTGCAGGATGGGAGTTGCCCAAAGCCAGTCATGGTAACCCTGTACTCTCTGTTGGTAAAGCTCTACCTGCTTCCTTCCACTTGTCAAAAAAACACCCAACCCTAACAACCACACAAACAAACCAAACCATATCAAATTCTCCTCCACCCCCCTCATCTATTAGTTATTTGGACAAGTAATTTAAAATTTTCAAGAAGTTTACAACAATTTCTGGTTCTGTTGATGGTGTTACCTTTGTCCATCTCACCCTCCTGTAGCCTGATTTTTTTCATGTAAAACTACATTATTGGCAACGGGATTACAGGTTTTGCTTGTAAGCTTTCTGGAGCGTGGGTAATGTCTCTCCTTTTCTATCAATGGCCTGTTGCATACAGAGGAAGCACAAGCAATTCAAAAAATGTTAAATTACAGTCAGATTTATGTAAATACTTGCCACAGGGCAGTATTTTTGTGTAAAATGCTTGGTCTGGCCACTGTTGGAATGTGCTTTGTCTCAGTGATTAAGACAGTATCACCTTGGTTTTAAAACAGCTACAGTGGTAGCTGTTTTAAAAGGTACCAGCAAACTCTGTAGGTTTAGTTCTTACAAGCTTACAGTTAATCTGAAGCTGGAAAACAGTTCCTTCTGAAATCTTAACCTGAACGGCAGTAAACTTTTGAACTTGAAACTTGTTTGGGACTTTCTGATTGTAAAAGGTACTTTTTTATTTTAAGCCCAGTGGAAAACAATTTGAGTCATAGCAGTATCTTGTTATATAAAAGAAGGAAAAATAGATATTTTAGGTAAAACCAAGCAGGGATCCTGCTACATCAAATGTTATGGATATGGTTACAATTTTCCAAGAAGTTACCATTGTCAGCGTTATTGAAATTGGTTTTCCTGGTTTTTTTTCTCCCTGTTCTGTGGTCAGATGGAGTGCTTGCTACAGTGGTATCGTTCTGGGGAAGTAGGAAAGGTGGTCATTTTGGCAAGCTTATAGAAATACCTCTTCTAAATATAGTAGCATTCTGCCAGTCTGAACACAGGATTGTCTGTCAGTAACTGAGCTGGTACCCTAGTAGGAGCTGCCAAGTTAGTGATGTAGGCTTTTGGGGCAAACACCTGTCTCCAAGTCAAACTTTTCAGCGTCTCCAATGGAGAAAGAATTTTAGTGGCAGAAAACATCCAGGTTTTGCCTAATAGTAAAAAAATGTAATTAAAACCAGGAGCATGGCTTATACTGTTGAGAGAGCTCGGCTTGAGGGTCTGACCTGAGCCTTCCTGAAGGGAGTAGGGAAATACTCCCACTTGAGGCAGGATGGAGAATGTGTAAGTTCCACAACTGTTAAAAATATTTCTGGCACTAGACCTGTATTGGATTTAGCACTGGCTTTGTTCTAACTGTGTTCTGCTGGTTAGGGGCTAAAGAATTTTCACTGTGTTACTATGGCCACATGTGCTTGTTTGGTACACAGCAGGTGAACTTTTCAGACGAGGAAGAGGGTGATAATGCTTTTCTCTTGTGCTGATGCAATACTGTTTCCTTTAGCAAAGCAAATATCTCACTGAGGTGTGTAGACCAAAACACCTGAGGTGTTCCACAGAACCAGTCTTAAGAGAATGTTTTTTCCATGCAGTAGTGTAACACCTTGAGGAAAGTGGACAGTGCACAGGGAGCCTTCTTCAAAATCATGTTTAGTCCTCTCCACAGCCTCCAGGAGCTGCTGCAACAAGGGTGCTCCACTTTGAGGTTGGTTGGTAGCAATTCTCTTTGGGGAAGGTCTAGTTGTTTCACAAACCAATAAATCTTCAGTCCTCAGCACTGAAACATCCATTAGTGGGGAGATCTTCCCCTCTGAAAGCTTCTCCTACCTAAGCTGTTCTCTTGAACATAACAATGACCTTGAGCAGCAGTAAATCAGTGCTGGGAAAACTCAGCATGCTTGTCAGCAGAAGGGAGCACAGCAGGGAAAGGAATGTCTCTGAAATCACAGCCTTTGGTGCCCAAATGTGTCAGTGAGCAAAAGGGTGTGAGGCCATCTGAAGTTAAATATGTTCCTTTATTTCTCATGGTCTTCTCTCTAGGAGGTGGGGATCACCCATGTAACAGGTTTCAGGAGTATTTCAGGAATAGGCCAAGGGTCTTCCTGGCTGCCTACAATTTGAATGATGTTGAAGTCTTTGGTACTTACGGCTTTTTATGATAGATGGGCGTAGTCATTTCAATAGATCTAATTTTCTCTTCCCTTTTCTTTTTATAACTTCTGGTTTGTTCCTATTTAGGTAGTAAAACGCCCATTTTACTGAGAAGTAGGGGGTAAAGCGATGCTACACAATGAAGTGTGCTACACTCTGTTGCCTGCCTGGGCTATAAATAATGCAGCAATTTTCTCTTTCCAGCAGTACAGCTACGTGATGGTCTTGTGATAAGTGTGTGGCATTGTGAAAGGTGAAATGGAACAGAAGATCCCTCCTCTCCAGCAATGTTTGAGTATCAGTTTGACTTGATGATCTCAAAGGTCTTTTCCAACCTAGTTCATTCTGTGATTCTGAGTCCAGGGAGTGAGGAGTCAAAGGTTGTGGCTGTTCTGCTCTCACAGCTGTTCTGGGCAGCAGACAGCTAGAATATTTCTTTCATTGTGGTCCTAGGAACACTTCCCTGTTTCTGTAGCCTTAACCTGCCCAGACAGAGCTTCGTGGGTTAGAGGAAATGTTGTGCCAGAGGTAGGACAGAGCTGTGTGCTTCCCCTTTATCCTGTGACTGCCTGGGCACTGCTTTACACAGCAGCAGCAGGGCATCCTGGCTCCCAAAGAGTTTCCAGGAGTCTGGGTGTGATGTAAAGGCATGACCGTCACTTGGAAAAAGTGACGGTGAGGCTTGCAGCAACCAGCCAACACTCTTTGGATTAAACAGAATACCACAACAAAGGACCCTGCTTAGTCCCACAAAGTATGCAGGTAGTGGGATTTCTGGCTGGGAAAGGTCAACCCTGCTCTGGTGTGCTGCCTTATGACAGTGGCAGAGGTTCTCTCCTTTCACAGCGGAGCACCCCACTTGTCCCTTGGGGCAGAGGGCACTGCACATGCATGAGTTTATCTGATGCATCCAAAAGGTCCCAGAGATTAACCCCTCCTAGAGTTTCCAACCCTTCTTGCTGCCTAAAATTGGATTTGGGGTGTATTTATTTACAGCGAGGTAAGGAAAAAGCAGAGGAAAACCTCATGTTATCATGAAGTGCCTGTCAGACTTTGCTGTGGATGGGCTGAGTGCCTCTGTAAGAGCCTTTCAATTGGTGCTTGCTTCAACTGGTGCAACCAGCAGGCTGGAGAGGGTTGTTTGGGTTTTGGTGTTCCATTGTAGTGTCCCAGAGCAGGTTCCTTCAGACATGGAAGTGTTTGAATAAGGCTTTGCAATATCGGGTGCTAAGCAAAATGTTGATTTTTTTAAAGTATTTTTTTTCTTTTTCCGTTTTCCCAGAGGTCAGGAATTTTCTAGATGCATGGGAATGAGGCTGTGTTAACTTGGTACAGCAACCCTGGTGGAAAACTTTTCACTTCACCCAGAATTCATATGTTATGTTCTCACTGCCCAATGTTCTGCATCCCTGCCAGAGTGAGTTTGACTAATCTTTGCCTGTGACTCAGAATGGAGATGTGTTAGGAACCTCTTTTATTTATTTTTTTTTTCCTTTTGAAAAATGAAGTGAAAGTTTATCTAACTATGGTTTTATGAGAGCTTGGCCAGCCAAATGAGGAAGTAAAATGTTCTTATAAAATGAGCTCTGGTTCTGCCCACTGCACTTATTTGCTCTCAGCTGACATCAGCTTTACCTCTAAATAGGAGCTGGTGACTTCCTTGTGAGCTTGGTACTGCTCTGAATCCAGCTTCTGTCTGGAGGATGGTGGGACAGCCCTGCTGGGCCACAGAAAGAACAGCGGCCAGGTAAGGTGCAGAGCAAGAGGGGTCACCTGTGCCCACAGCTTGCTCCCTGGGGAGTTTGCCTTTACTATCTTTAGAAAACGGAGCAGGGAAGGTGGAGAAGAAAGAGGCAAATCTTTTCTTAGTCATCAAGACAACAAATGACAGGTGCTACGAAGAGTTTATGTGCATCTCTCATTTGTGAAAATAAAAATTCTTATATTTCTGAAGGTAGAGCAGCCAGTCTGCTTTCGGGGAAATGCAACACGGTAGAGCTCAAATGGGCTCTCAGTCTTAGGTGGTTTGCAGTGTTAATCTCAGGGGTGAAGGAGGAAGAGGAGTGAAGTGGTGCTGCCCTGAGGTGTGAGGGGAAACACTATGGTGGCAGGGATCTGCAGCTGTGCTCCTTGTGCTGCTTGGTATACACATGAACTTTAGAGAAGCCCTAAACCTGCTCTGCCTTGACCAATGGCAGGTCTGTCTGGGGCTCTGTCCCCCCTGCCTGGGCAGAATGGTTCTTTGAGGGGGCTTTGAGGAGCCCTCTGAGTCAAACTGGTCCTTATTGTGGTTCTGTGGCCTGAGGCTGCTGGAGGTGCTGCTCTGACTGGTCAGAAGGATGAGGAAAAATTATTCTTTAAAGTCATTCAAAATGTAGTAGCTACCACCAGTTCTTTGGAGAAGAGTTCTCAATTATAATTTTCTAGTCTTAAAAATCTGTCAAACTATACAAAAGGCAGAAAACCATAAGAGGTCTTCTGATTTTTTGGTCAAAAGTACTCACTGAAATACTAACATTCTAAAATGTTAAGATTGAAATAGAATTTTGGAAACCTGACTGAAGCTTTTTCTTTGTGTGTGTGTGTGTGTGTGTGTGTGTGTGTGTGTGTGTGTGTTTATCTGTAGGAGGAGTCACAACACCACAGAGAGAGTGCTTTTAAAGCTAGAACATGGGATGGGCATACCATTATCTGTGGATAAATTATTCTATGAAATTAGAAGACTTTGGCTTTCAGTGGAGTGAAAACAAAAACAGCTCCCAGTGGGATCAGCTTAGATGAAGGGTGGAAAGTGGCAGGAGGAAATCTAAGTAGTTTGCAAATGAAGGTCATGAAGTTTATAAATGGAATTTCACAATCTGTGATAGCAAAAGCTGGAGTCTGTGATACACAATTTCTCCTCCTGTCATGTTTTTTGTGCTGGTTATAAGCAGCCAGCTGACCTGCTGAACTTGGGCATACTCCTGACTGTTTACTAATGTGTAAGTCTGGGATTTTATTGCCCTTTAATTCCCCCTTGAGAAGGGCGACCTCAGAGTTTCCTGTGATCAAGGCTTCCATCTCAGTATTTCCAAATTGTTCTCTCTGTGATGAAAACCCTGCACTAACTGTATCACCCATTTTTAATATTTGGCCACACTGCAGCAGAAATCCAGTGGTCAACTCTATCATATTGCTGGGGATGGCTGATACTGCATCACATCAACCCCAGGCAGCCATCCAGAGCTCCCCATGCTTACCGAGCCAAAGGGATTCACTGCCTGCACAGAAGGACCAAGCCTTGCCAAAAGAAGCAAAGGGTGCAGACATGGACCATGGGCTTGGTGCTGCCTGGGATGGAGCCAAACATCCATGTGGCACAATGTGATGCTAACATGGGAAATTGTTCTGATAGTAAAAGAAAAGGGAGGGGGAGGAGGAAAAAAGAAAAAGCATCAGGGTAGACAGAAGTACAGGTTTGAAAATAATAGTAATGGCCATTAATATGTGGTAAATGTTTTCTTTCAAACCTGAAGATAGATACTAAGAAAAGTTTTTAATTAGCAATAATTTATTTTTAAAAATCTAGGCATTTTTAAAAAACCAAGTAGTACACTTTAAGTGTTTGGAGCCACTGATCACATACTGGAAGCAGGCTTTACTGTGGTGCTAGCCCAGACTGCTTCTGCTTTATTTGGTTACATCAAGGTATTTCAGCTCACACAGTAGCTGTTTCAAAGATGAAAAACCATTCCAATAATGAAAAAGCATTATACAGGCAAATACATTTTTATCTTTAGTCAATGGAATAAAAACAAGGATTAGATGTAAAAATTGTTACAGGGTGCACTGTGAGGAAAACACTCACTGACTAAAATAAGCAATGTTTTCGTTCAGGTGGAAAAATACACATGGTAACTGTTTCCCCCTTACAGTTATGACATATTTAAGGAATGTTTTTTTTAATTGATGCTGTTTGTCATTTTTAACTGAGTGCCAGATTTCTCACACAGAATACCTGAAATTTATAAAGCTACATAGAAAAGTAAATACCAAAGTTTCACGAGGTGAGGTTATAACTAATTATCATGTTTTCCTGCTGAACTAATCAGTTTTAAATTAACTGAACCCAGCATGGATTTTTTTCCCCACAGCCTGAGAGGGCTGTCATGCCTTGGGGAGGAGCTTCACTCTGAATCCTCTCCCAGCTGCTTGTTTCCAGCATCTCCATGCCTTCTTCCACATGCTTTCAGCTTCTGGCTCCTGGGGTGGTCCACGCTGGGCAGGGAGTGGCTGGTGGGCTGGGAAGGGGAGCTGGTGGGTGGGATTGGCTCTGGCTCTGGGCTCGGCACAGAGGTGCTTGTTTGATCAGTTAATTCTGCATCTGGTGCGCCATCAGCAAAGGGAAGAGGGCCACCCTTACATCCCTCATGTGGGTGGAAGAACCAGCCACAGCTTTTAACCAGGTAGCATCAATAATGGCAGTGATGTGGCAAGAGATGCTTCAGTGCAAGCAAGCCAACAGTGACTGAAGGTGTTTGGCTTGATGGACAAGTGGGCACCGTGTGTGTTCTGTGTCGCACTCGTTGGGCTCAGGCAGCTCTGGGTACCCCTGACTATGGTACCCATCCCCTGCCTTCGCTGGGTAGACCAGAAAGTTACATGGTGCAGTTCTGGAGAATATGAAGTAGCTTTTGCTACTTTTGCACACTCACTTCTGAATTACCTTGACAATAAAAATAAGTCAAATTGGTAAGTGAAGCAAGTGATAAGTGGAATAATTGATAAGTGAAATTGAAGACGCTTTCTGGATCACCTGCTTCAAAGCACCATCCCCATGGCTTTCAAAAAAACCAAACTGCTTCTCTGAAAATAGAAGCCCTCAGTGAAACAGCAAGTAACAGGGAAAGAATGGTTAGGCATCGTTAGAACTGATGAGTGACAGAATTTCGGAACTTATGTCTGTATACGCACAGACACATAGTAAGAAAGATAAAACTATTAAAAAAAAAAAATCAGTTTCCAGATATTTTGCTAACAGGATGTTTCCTGAAATCACTGGATGAATTTTGCTATACTTGTTGCTATGGCATCTGAGCCCATCCAGTAAAATTTGACAGATATTTATCTCGGGCTGACAAACCACACAGCAAATTGAAAATCCCCTTTGTGTCATTTCCTGTGAGATAAGTCTGAAGAACCAACTCACGCATGCAGCCTGTCTGCTTACAGGCAGCCTGGCACAGCTCACCAAGTAAGGTGACACCTGTCTGACATAATGTTTGGAGAGTGACGAACATTTGCATGGGACACTCTGGTGCTTTTATAATTAAGAACGGACCAGAAAATTGCTTTAATGCTGAGAGAAGACAGCTAATCTGCTGGTCTCTGCTGTGCACTAGGCAAAGAACTGAGATGACTGCATGCTTTTCCTTAATGCTTGTGTTTTGTTGTTGCTAATCTTTCCCTCTCTGAAGCTGATGCCTGTAGGACACAGCTGGGAAGACAGAATCACCGGGTTTAGAGGAACATAAATGCCCGCTAAAATGGCACTGGCCAGTTCAATTCCTAGCAAAGCAGCACCACCACACTCCAGAAAAGTTTCTGCAGCAGGGGTGGAAGTGCACCAGAGCAAGATGGATTTTTTCTGCAAGCTGGGCTATGGTAAGCAGGACATCTGCAAAGTGCTGGAGAACCTGGGCCAAGAGGCCCTGGAGGATGATGTGCTGAAAGAGCTGATTCGGATGGGGAGCAAACCTCAGGCTCTGGAGAACCAGGCTCAGCCTTCCCAGCTAAAGCTGGTTGCCCGTGGATCTGGTAGCAGCACACCGGGGCTGAAGAGGCTTGGAGAAGATGAAAGTGATTCTTCTGATTCCTTGAGACCCATTGTGATCGATGGCAGCAATGTTGCCATGAGGTAAGCTCCGTTTCCTGAAAGGCATCTCTCTTCCTCTGAAGCTTTTGGATGTTAAAACTGATGGCTTGAAGTGTGTTTTTCCTTCAGGTGAGAGGTGCATTGGTGCATTTGATGTATGAACAATTGCTTATTCCTGTTCTTTGGCTGATGCACAGCTTTTAAGGACCTGCTGTCTTGATGCCCGTGAATATGCACGTCACATGCAATTACTGGCTCACTCCGCATTCTGACCTTCTATAAGGCAACCTCTGTCCACTGTTTGTGGCAGTGTCTATCCCTTTTCAAATGGGCACCTAGGATTTCTAAGCCTGAGATGTTTTCAGGGAAAATCTGATGGACAGACAGAACACCCAACTAATCTAGGAAGAGGAGAAATAAAGTCAGGTGGCTGCAGTTCCTAACACTATTACAGTTGTACTGCTTTGACTTGCAAGCAAACTCAAAAAAATGTTCCCAGCTTCTATAATTTTTGTTTTCAATTTGGTTTCTGTTTTAGGGAAATATCAGGGAATTGATAGTTGGCTTTATTGAATAGATTCATTTCCTCCTTAGTCATTCTGTTTCTGGGAAATGTTGCATCAACCCATGCTGGCCAATTGCATTTCCTAGCAGTGCCCTGGCACTGTGAAAGCGCTCTTGCAGATGGGGAGCCTGGCATGTCCCTGTGGATGGGACATCCAAAGACAGCAGTGGGTTGGCCTCTGTTTATCCAAGCAATACGGAGCCAAGAGTTGGGGATGCACTGGCTATCCAGCTGTTTTCTCTGTTAACTTCCCTGTCCACTCGGCAGGGCCAAGCCCATCCCTGCAGGCTGGGACAGGGCAAAGGAAAGCTTCCTCCTTCTGTTAGCCGCCCTGTGAGATGAGATGAGACCATATGCCCTCTGGTTAGAGAGGAAAGTGGCCAAGCACATCCAGAGCAACTGGAGACTAAGCAAATTATGCCATCTTGTGGGTGAAGGGAGAAATCCCAGCCAAAACCAAGAGGTTCCCTGCTCAAGGCAGCTCACGAGGATTGGGAAATACACAACAGAGCGCACTTGTTTGGCCTTGTTTGGGCCATGAGCTTGGTAACCAGGTTTTAGGATCTCCTGCCCCGCTTTGCCTCTTCACCCAAGCCCTTCTCAGAGTGTCTTTCTTGCCTCTCTGAGAAAGAACTGAGCACCCACTTGGGCAGTGTGACTGAGCTGATCCCTCACTGATCCTTTCACTGTGCCGGGGTCAGTATTACCCAGGATGGGCCATGGCCTCTGGCCTTAGCTCTCCTGGCACAGCAGCTTTAAGTTTCAGAAAGGCAAAGGTTTTGCAGCTCTTCTCAGACATCCCATCCACTGTCTTGGTGACAACTGTGAGGATGATGGAGGAGACCATCGAGCTTGTGCCTTCAGTTGGTGCTGGAAGGGTGCAGCCTGGAAGGAGCTGCTTTCCTCTCCTGGATGCCTTTCAGTGTGGTGCTGAATGGTTGCTTTGGCTAATGAGGTAGGCCTGGTCAGTGCTCTCAGTACCTTTGATTTAATTTTTCTGGTTTCCTGCTGTCAGACAGAGGACAGTTTGCAGATGTCAGGGGGAAGGGATGTTTGGTTCCCTTGCTGGGGAAAACTCCATCATCATCAATACCAGCAACCATAAAAGCACAGCAGAAGCAGCAGTTTAGGAATGAAACAATCAAGTTAGGGCTTCAAGTGGCAGCTGTCTGTGTGGAGAAAAATATCTTGAGCATTTAAATTTCTATCTTAGGATTGGTGTTTCTGGGGAATTTTGAAGTTGTCACTGTGGGCCCACTGTAAAGTGCAAGGTTTTGAAAAGGATGTATATGCCCCAGGGTCATAAGGTGATGGACTCAGCAGTTTCCAACCATCAGTCAGCCAGAGAAGCTGGCTGATGGAAAATAACCTTGCCTTCAGCCAGTCTCACTCATCAAACCTCTCTGTACACTTTGTGTTTCCATCAGATGTAATGAGAAATTTCACCACCTGCCAGCCTATCCATGGGAAGTTTTGCAAGGCTGGTGGAAAAACAAATGGAGTGGTGTTAATAGGAAAAGGGAAGTGTCATAGCCATGTTGACTGCACACCTAAGAGGCTGCTCCTCTGGTGCTTGCACTTGCACCTAGGTTTAAAGCTGTGGTAACTACAGAGACCTGTTCCTAGGCCTTTCTGACAAGGGTTTGGCTGATGCTGCCTCATGACCAGGTGGAGAAGGGGCCATTTACAGTTTTCAAAAGAGATTGGTTTGCCTAAACTTCCTCTCAAAGGAGTTGGGATGACACAATTTAAAGAGGAATTGCTGCATGCTAGTAATAGATGGACTGCTGGAGTCACAAAGATGACGAATGTTGCTACTTCATCTTCTGAGAGACGGGCCCTGCTGGTCTGTGACCCAGGTGCAGTGTGCCCTGTTGCTGGCAGGAGGGAGAGATGAGACTGAGTTATGACAGATCATGGATGAGCTATGGTCCAGGGAATCCAGGGTTGTGTGGGAAAGGTGACTGACAGGAGGAGCCAGTCTGTGCCCAGGCAGGGAGGGTGGGAAGCTCTGAGGGCCCTGCTCCATCACACAGCAGTCACTGGTGTGCAGCCCCCACACACGAACAGGCTCGTTCAGGTGGCCCCCAGGTCTGCCCATAGAAGTGGAGCAGCAGCTGGATTAGATGATAATGCTGAGGAGCACTTCCAGGTGCCTCATCTTCCTTGTTCCACTCAGCCTTTTGGCTGACCCACTTGAGTACTTTCTGCACAGGGGTACACCTAGAACTGCCTTCCTAAAGCCCACAGGATTATATATACAAATAGCCAATATTTAAGAAAGCAGTTGCTGAATTTTGAGTCGTGGCATCAAAGATGTACCTGGACTGCCTTTTAAAGGCAGTTATCTGAAAAAGTCACCCAAAGTTCCAATTCAACAGTCCAAGTGATATTATGACTATCCTGAGAAGATCCTATCCTTTAAAACCAAACAAAACAGCTGTTCTAAAGTGGAGATTAGATATGTCAAGCACTTCTGACCATTTATTATTGCTAATGGTTTTAAAATACTTCCTAGTGCCTTGGTTGCTCTTAATAGGCAATTTCTTCCTACAAATTGTGCTATTTTTCATTTGTGGTCACCACTTCAGGACAGAAAATTTTATTGGGTGTAAAGTGGAGCTTTGGTTATGAGGCTGGTGCAGACAGACCCTAGAGATGAATCCCTGGGAGGTGGTGACTTGTGTAAGACTGCAGCATCACCCTTGACTGGTCTGTCATTGCAAGGGGTGTGGCAGCCAAGAGAGTCATTCTCAAGGGCTTTTTGCAGAGGTGAAAGCCTGAGAGAGACTGGCAATATTATGCAGAAAGGTCAAAGTACAAGGATGAGCATTCTGTAGATACTGAGAAAGCATTTATCCATTTAGGACTTTGTGTACAGTTTATTTTAGTTTCCTTGTGCAGAGGTAGTTAACAAACTGCTTTTCTTTACACACACACTGCACTGTAGTCAAATTTTAGATAAGCGAGTGCCAAGCAGTAGGAACTTTCAGGGAAGGTGACACATTTAGAAACAACCCCAGTTGTTTTCCTTGAGGTTATTTTCTGTCTTATGCTGCATATTGAATTCTTCAGAACCCACCTTGCTGGCACCTCTAGAACACTTTTCTTAGGGCTTTCCTACCTCTCTGTGCAATGGAGAAAATATCCATCAACTAGAGCAAGATGAAAGTGGGTCTGAGGTGCCTGTGGCCATCTCCACTGGTGTCTTGTCCTTTTTTTGGTTCTCTGTATTTCCTATCCTGCCTCTTACAGTTTTTCATCCCCCATATTTTGTCTCATGTTTCCAAAAATATCACCCTGTACACCTGCAGCCACTTCAGCCCTTAAAATCTCTAATGGCCCTGTTACTACAGAAGACAATTCCCACATTTTGTTTCTCACAAGACAGCCTCATGGGTTTCTGCTCGTGCAGGAAGAAACTCTCACTCCTCAAACCTTTTTCAGACAAGGCATGGGAAAGCTTTGACAAGGCCTAACATCTTGTTGGTACCTTAGAACTTAAGTCCATGGAGATAGTGATGGAAGGAATAAGCTTGGGTCATGGAAATGGGGGATAGGATACCTCTGTTTTTAAGTATTCAGACTGTTTCAGATAAATCTTTGGCTCTGCTGGAGGAGGTGTTTGGATCTGTCTCACCAGGACACCCTGCCAGGTTGTTTTCTTGGAAACGAGCGAATGACACAGAAGCTGTTTATTTTGCCTTTTCATTACTGGCTGAATTAAAGAGAATTCTAAACTTCATAAAAGCTTTGCCTCATCATCCTCTCTCTTTTTTTTATAGTCATGGAAACAAGGAGGTGTTCTCCTGTTGGGGGATCCAGCTGGCGGTGGATTGGTTTAGAGAGAGGGGTCACACTTACATCAAGGTTTTTGTCCCCCTCTGGAGAAAGGAACCCCCCCGACAAGACAGCCCCATTGCAGGTAGGTCACCATCCTGGCCGTAATTTGGCAGCCATTAGGTGCAGTTTGGAGACAGAGGGGTGTGAAGAACTCAGCACAGTTGTTTTTTTTCCCTGTAAAGAAAAGCACAGTACGAGTTGTGTATCAGTCTTCCCTGACTTAAATGAGTCATTAATTCATTGCCCCATTCAGTGCTGCTGGCTAGCAGCTAAAACTGCTTACAAGGCTTTGTTGCACTGCTTTAAACCTTCTGCTTAACAAGCACAAGGTGCTGCCAAGCTGAGTTAAAGAAGGAGTTTGTCAGCTTGCAGTGAGTCTACAGAGCTTGTGAGGCCTGCCAGGAGACAGTGTTCATTACTGCATGACTATTGTCTGTCAGGCTGCTACCCAACACAGGGGGTGCACGGGTTCCCCTTCCAGGAGAAGAAAATGCATCAGCAGAAGTCTGGAGGGGAGTGAGACTCCGTTTGTCTGGAAATAGATCAGTGAGGTTTGTGCCGGCAGCTTGGTGGCTGCAGATGAGGCACATCGGCCTTCCTGCAGGGATGGAATGGCAGGAGGCCAGAGTGTCCTCAAAGTTTGTTCATGTGTTTTATCCCACATGTTTTATCTCCAGGTAAAGCTTACATCAGGGCTGGTTTATCCCTCTGGCATCCAGCAGGGTTAAAAAGGGCACTGCAGGGATTCAATATCAGACTCTGGTGTAGAATTCAAGGCATTCTTTTACAGATAAGACTTAAAAATAAAAAAAAAAAAAAAGTGCCTCAAAATTTACAAACTGATGTTTTTGTAAAAGATCTGATTTTCAAGTTGCCAAATAACCATCAGATATCACTGCATCTGAAGATTGCACCATGAATTTCATAAAGTGCTGAAATATCCTTAGATTCCTGTAGGTTTCTAGCAGATGATTGAGACCTGGTCACTAATTATTAATTAATTAGTTCCTCTTTTATTTTTTTGCTTCCCTCATCTACTTCTGCCAATCCCTCCAACCAGACCAGCACATTCTTGAGGAGCTGGAAAAGCAATCTATCCTGGTCTACACACCCTCTCGGAAGGTGAAGGGCAAGAGGGTGGTTTGCTACGACGATCGCTACATAGTGAAAGTCGCTTATGAGAAAGACGGAGTCATTGTTTCCAATGACCACTACCGGGATCTCCAAAATGAAAACCCCGAGTGGAAATGGTTTATTGAGCAGCGACTACTCATGTACTCTTTTGTCAGTAACAGGTAAGAGATGGGTGGTGTTACAGGATCTAGAATTAAACATCACAGGCCAAGTCAGCTCCAGCATCAGTGTACCTCCCAGCAGTAGCAGAATACGTGAGCCTTTTTATGAAAGGAATTTACTGCAGCATTTCTTATCTTGTTTCTTGAGTTTCCTACTCCCTCAAGCTCCCATGTCACTCTTCTATGAACTTTTCTTCTTGAATGGCAGCATTAGTGACCAGCTTTGCATCTTTTCAATCCAGTTTGTGATGTTAAACCAAGGGTTGGTATCTTTTAATTTCTGTTTCCTGTAAGAAGCAGCATTAAATCCTTGAGAGGAGGCTGCCTGGCAGTATCTGTAATTCCCCTACACAACAAAATAGGGCTTTTCCCAGTGTTTCTGCAATCATGGCTTGCTAGAAGAGACAAGAAGCTGGTCTCTCTGGCCCTTTACCATCCCTACTGACAGAAGGTTTTCATTCAGGCACTTGCACCATGCCTGCAAGGCTGGGCTGAGTGCTCCTCAGTCTGTTCATATTAACCTCTCTTCTCTCCTGAGTTTCCTAATAGCTGAGGAGTCCAGGGGAAATGCATTTCACTGAGACACTCCCATGACATGTGCTTACATCCATGACTTCTTTTCCTTTCCCAGGTTTATGCCTCCCGATGATCCGCTAGGCCGGCACGGACCCACCTTAAGTAACTTCCTCAGCAAGAAGCCAGTGCTGCCTGAAAGGAAATGGCAGCCTTGCCCTTATGGTGGGTTTCTGGCCATGCTGTGAGCTTCCCCCTGCTTCCCAGCTGTGCTCTCCCTCAGCTAGGGGCCACTGCCATGTGCTGTCCTGCTTTGTGTGGTAGGGACTTGGGCTTGCTCAAAGGTGTGATGCTTTTTTCCCCTCCTGCTTCAGTGGCTCCAGCCTCAGCAAAGGCAGCAGATGTTTCTGGCCCCTCCATCCTTGCCTGCGCACAGCACCACGGGCGCCGTGGCTGTGCTGACCACACACACTGCTCTTTGTGGAGTGGATTTTGCTGCTGCACTCGGGAATGGCCATCCAAACACTCTCCCTCTCTCCCCTCCCGACAGCCCCCCAGCAGCATGCAGGTTTCTCAGAGGTAAAGCCCTGTGCCATTTTTTAGAGCAACCTTTTGTAGCAGCAGGCCTCCCAGTCCAGCGAGTGCAGGAACTGAAACATGAATATCAGACACTTCCGAAATAGCAGAGACTTCCTTTCACTGCTGCTTCACCCTGCTATTAATATCAGCAGTATTTAAATCTGGAGTCAACAGTACTGAGTTTGAAAATAGTACTTCCCCTTTTTTCTGTGTTCATCACACCCAGTGCTGGGGAGAAGTGATGTTGGTGCTAGTGACAACTTCCTGTCCGATTCGGTTTTATTCTTTCAGGTAAAAAATGTACCTATGGCAATAAATGCAAATTTTACCATCCAGAGAGACAACATCAAGCCCAGCTTTCAGTCGCTGATGAGCTCAGGGCCAAAACAAAGGTCCCGATAGCCCTGTGGAAGGAGGAGGAGAGGCGCCAGTGCTCACCGTACGCAGCCAGAGGAGAGCCTGCACCCTGCGATGCCTGCACAGAAACTCTGCGGGAAGCCAGAGGCTGCTCTGGGCCTTCCTGCTACCCAGGCAGGTCCCAGGGGAGCTGCTCCGAGCAGACATTCCGTGCCTGGGCCGGCAGCCCTGGGGCTGACCTGGGGCTGGAGCAGCGCTTGCCGCAGGCGGAGCCGCTCCTGGAGGAGATGTCAGCGGTGTCCATCGGCGGTGGCGCCTTCGGCTGCCGCCGGTCCTTGTGCCCCTCCCAGGAGCGGGGGGTCACGGACAGCCCTCAGCCCTGCGCTGGCCTCAGGCACAGACTGTTGTCTCTTCATCACCCTCAGAGCCTGGAGCAGGCCGGCTCAGCCGGGCGCCCTTTCCAGCTCCGAGCGCTCCCAGCTGCGCCGGGCGGGATGCGCGGGGAGCGCGGCTGGGCCCGGGAGCGCCACGGGAGCCGCTCGGTCCCCGGAGGTGCTCAGCACAAGCAGGGCCCGGAGAGCCGGCACGCTGCTTTGCTGCAGGCCACAGCTCTGTTCCCTGACAGCCTTCCCCTGCAGGGTGAGCAGCAGGCGCAGCAGCACCGCTGCATCCCCAGCCGGCCCCCGGGACAGCCCTTTCTGGCGGATTCCAGCGATGGAACGGGCTTATTCCACAAGGCCCTTGCTTACCCCAGTGCCTCTTACAGCGACTACTGGCCCACCCCGGCTGCAAGGCTTCCCTCTGCCCCGCAACTAAACACACACAGGGAGCTGTGCTCCCCTTATCCCTACGGTGAGATGAGCCAGGCCCTGGCTTTGTACCCCAGTATCCAGGATAAGGGGACTGGAGCACCTCCCCTATGAAGAGAGGCTAGGGAGCTTGGGACTGTTCAGCCTGGAGAAGAGAAGGTTGCATGGAGACCTCACAGAAACCTTCCAGTATCTGAAGGGAACCTACAAGGAAGCCAGAGCAGGACGCTCAGTCGGGAACTTTAGTGATAGGACACAGGGGAATGGCTTCAGACTGAGAGAGGGTAGCTTTAGGTTAGATTTTAGGATGAAATTCTGAATTTTCTGGGTGGTGAGACATTGGAACAGGTGGCTCAGAGAAGCTGTGGATGCCCCGTACCTGGAAATGTTTTAGGCCGGGTTGGGTGGGGCTCTGAGCAATCTGGTCTAAGTAAAAGAGGTGTCCCTGCCCATGGCAGCAGGGATGTTGGAACTGGATCATGTTTTAGGTCCCTTCCAACTCAGACAATTATTTCTGTGATTCTGTGATATTGCCTGCTGGACTTTAATGATTCAAAGACACAGAAACTTGTGAAACCTCCAGAGCAAACCATTTTCAGTAAGCACAAATCCTAGGGCAAGAAGATGCTATTCTGAGGCTTAACTAAGTGTTTATAGAGGGTGTTAGGGCAAGGATTACAGCTGCTCCAGGAATACAAGTATAAACATCAAATCAAGGCAAAGGCTGTCCTCTGTGGCCATGGGATTGCATTTCACCTCCCCTGAAAGAGAGCAGGAGGGGCTCAGGGTTACTGGGCTGTCAGCATTTGAACCTCACTGGTGACTGGATTCAGATTTTCATTAACACCCTAAAAAATCAGATGTGTTTTTAGAGTCCAAACCTGTTGTTCAACTTCCATGAAAGAGCCGTGCTCCCCAGTCCCCAGGAGAGGGCTCTCCCATGACCTGCCTGTTCCTCCTTGCTCAGCCAGCACAGAAGAGGATTTGGCCTCCTCCCCTAGCACAGGGCTCTGCTCTCTGCTAGAAGACAGCTTTGGGTCCCTGTCATCACCTGATTCAAGCCCATCCCGCTGTCAGTGAGCTTTCAGGGCTCCATCTCGTGCTTCTAAAGCAGTGCTGAGAGCACACAGAGCCGCCAGCAGAGGGGCTGGAGCTGCACCTGAAGGAAGACACAGGTATATTTCTCAGAAAAGGGACACACACAGCATAAATCAAGTCAGGGAAGGCATCTTCAGTTTAAGTCCTGGTGTGGACTGAGGGCTTGGGGATGGTAGTTAAAAAGACCCAGAAGTCCAGATGAAGCTAAAGAAAGAAAGAAAGAAAAAAAAAAAAAAGAAAAAGATAAAGCAAAAAAAAAAGTTTGAAAGTATCTCCTGTATTGAACAAGAAATCTGTTGTTGACTTAACCCTAATTACCAAATGTGGCCCCATAATGCAATTATACCGTAAACTGTGTTCTGTTAGGACATGTTTGATTTTCAGTAAGCTGTAAAGCTGCTAATCTCTGCATTATTCCACTGAATGCTTCAGGTTATAATTCAAAGAGTCAGGTTGATCCTGGAGGTTTTTGGCATTATACCAAAGTTTAAGTATGTCAGTATGACATGTTTTAAAAATGCTTTTAACACATTATAAAATGTTCATCTATAACACTTTGTTCTCAATAATTCTCTTAATTTTCTGGGTTTTACTTAGGTGGTGGTTTTTTTTATTGTTGTTATTTTGTTTAGTTCCTGGTTTTGTTGTTTTTTTTCTCAATCCTTTTAGAACTGGTTCTTCTACATTCAGGTGGGATTTTCAAGCTCTCTAACCCTGCAGTATCTCATTTCTCTGAAGTGCAGTGTTGTTAGTTCCAGGCAGGAATCAAACACAGTCCTCAATGAGAAGTTGTAATTCTGTTGCTTTCACAAAGGTAGCAGTAATTTACCCTTAGTGATATTTTCACGTGGTGCATTTTTTGAAAGCAGTGATAGTCTGACCTGTTTCCCTCTGGAAACAACCATCAGCTCTGTTTTTGTTTTTTGGTGATGGTTTTGAAGAATCTTCAGAAAATAAGTATACTGTAGCTGTTCAATTTCTTATGCCCCTGTGGTTGGCTCCAAGAAACAGCAATTTGGATTTTGGAGGTATGACTTATGTTCACAGAACATGGCAATTTTTTTCCATATGTCCATATGAGTTGTTGAAGTGGCTTATAAATTTGTCCACTACATCTTACATAAAGGTTAGAAGTTGTCTTAAAACAAAACTATGAAAAAAATTCTCTGAGATATGCCTCAAAAAATGCTGCAGACAAAGTGTGACGCCGAATGGAAAAATACCTTCCACCCCCTCAAACAAAGCAAGTCCCAAATGGCAGAATTCAGAAAACACACACAGCAATGGAGCAGGATGTAACTGCACATGTCAACATTAATTTTTTGTGTCTGGCATGCATATTTCAATACACAAAGCATTGAAAAATCCATAGGAAAGTTGGCACACTGCCTTTATATGGTGCCCTTGGCTTGCTGGAGACATGCATAAACTTCTCTCCTTTGAGGATGCACAGGAATTTGGTGGTAGCTCAAAACCCTCTCAATGCTTAATAATTTTTTTTGTTTTCATTTCTGTCATATTTACTGAGGAATCTTTTTGTAAAATACATAGAATGTGCACTCTTCTGAGACAGTGTCTGAGAAAATAAATCAGATTTTGGTGCTAAACAGAACTTGATTTCTCTTGGCTCTTGAGGCAAGCCCAGAGGGTTTTTTCTCATGGGGATTTTGTTGGAAGGGCACTCAGCAGCAGTGCTCTGTCTCTGCCTGAGAGGAACTTTGCTGCTGGCCAGGAGCCCACAGAAAGCAGGGACTGTTCCCCTGTTCCACCACAGCACAAGCACACGGGGCTCAGCAGCTCCTGCTGCAGGGCTTTTTGCACTTTCCAAAGCAGGGAATTCTCTTTGCCTTTGTCAGCGCCTGGAGCAAGGGAAAGGGCTGCGAACAGAGAGGCGGCGGCAGCTCTTGGACAGAGGGGTAAGAGGCTGTTGCTATTTGGTATCTCTGCTGAGATGCATTTGAGGCCAGCTCTCGCTGCCAAGTTGCAAATGAACCCATAAATCTTAAAAGGCTCAGAAAGCCCTTGATGTTCTTTGCTTTTTGGTTGTCAAGACTCTTTTAGAAGAAGCTGGAAGCACTGAGAGCAGTCTTCCAGGAGATGGGCTGCTTTCCCAAGGGAGACTTACAGAGTTGCCAAGTTCATTTGAAAAAAGAAAGAAAGAAAAAAAAAAAAAAGAAAAAAAAATATAAAAAAATTCTCTTCCTTTCCTCTACACTCAGCCCTTCCCAAAAAGGCAGAAAGCCAGAGAGATCCTCCCTTGCAAGAGGCTAGGGGAACTATACACATATATTTCCAAATATTTCACTGAAAAGTCTTGGGTCACTGCAAGACTTGTGTGAGCTCCTCAGTGTAAGAAGGGGGAAAGAGGGTGCTCTTTGCAGTCCTGGGCACCTCACAGCACCTCTCTCCACTTCTTCTAAAATACAGAAATCTTTCCTTCACAGAACATGGTTGACAAGCCTACTGATGTGCTGGGCTGAGGTAGCATAAGAATTCATGCCATAAAGCAGACTATAAAGTAGACAGTCTTGCTGGGTATCCACCACTTGTATTTGCCAATTATTCTGAAAAGTTTTGATAATATTTTAACTCAGTTCCCACAAGAGCTGGCACAATTCATAAGCAAACATTCAAACTAATCACAAAAACTAAATAGAACATGACTTCTCTTAAAAAGTGCAGGACTTCTAGGGAGGAACAAGGCTTGTACTTCACCAAGTGTGACAGTGCACTCTGTGACTCTGCACTCACTCGTGTATACACAAGACTGCTGCAGGATCCATCTCCCATGCATTGGTGGGACTGGGATGTTTGAACTCTTGAATTTAATATTACAGCACCATAAGCATAATTAAGAAGGTGCTACGATTTGAAATTGATAGCAAAGGGAATTTTTTTTTTACTGTATTTTAGCCACATCCCTTCTCCATGCCCAGCTGGACTCACTGCCTTAAATTCTTGCAGCAGGCTCAGAGGAACTCTTCAGTGAGATGTGCTGATGTGCTGACTTGGCAAATGCAGCCCAAACAGACACACCAGAGGAGCAGAGCAGTGGGTGAACACAGAGATTTGTGGGGACAGCTCCCATGAGGCAGCGAGCCAGAGAGTCAGGACAGCACAGGCAGGGCTTAGAGCATGGTCAGGGAACTGGATGATGTGCATGAATGGTGGCATCAGGATTGTTCACCCTTACCACTGCCAGCTCCTCCTCTTTCCCTGAGTCAAACTGTTTCCTTGTCTTCTCCCACCCTTGTTGGGCTCAGGATTTCCATTGCACTTACGATTTCCTAGTTTGGGCATTGAAGGGAATTACTAACACTACTGGTTCCATACAGAAGGCAAATGAACATCAGCACACTTGATGGCAGAAGGAAAATATAAACTAGGAGCAGACATGAAAATATGGATGGCATTAAAAAATGCCCCACTGGACAAACAAGTAGATTTTCTCAAAAGAAGAACAAAAAGAAATTCAACACAATGAATAGTAGAGCTTGAAGAAGCATGTCACCTATGGTAGGATGAACCTTGGAAAAGAACTGCTGTGCAAAGTAAGACTGAAAAAGGTGCCTGCCACCCATCTGCACACTTGCAAGACTGAGCAAAGCAGGCCCAGCTCTCCTGTGGCTCTCAGCTTGCTGAATTTAGAATCTGTAATTTAATACCTGCAGAGACTCCAAACAACTGAGAAAAGTGCTAAATAAGAAGCAGCATCAGCTGTAGTAACCAAATGAGCTACAACACTGAACACAAAGTCAAGACAAAGATAACTCCATTGTCTGGTGATCTCATTTCCAGATTAGACTTCATTTTACTACAGGAATTAAAGTTCTCCTGGCATGGTCAGGAGGAGAGCTGTGCAGAGACCAGAACTACCTAGGAGGACTAAAGAACAACTGAGGCTTGCCAAGGGGGGCAGCAGGAGAAGCCCAGAGGAATGTGATGGCTTTTACTACTTGAAATGGCAAATGGCAAAATGCACTTCATAAATAAAAACACGTTCTCCAGCTACAGAGAAATCTAAATCCTAAGAAGTGCCATGATGCCCTGGCAAAGGTTGCAGTCCATCCCCCACCGCTCCAAAAGTGGTGCTAAGGAAAATTTAGCAGGGAAGCAGACTATGATTTTTTATTGCCAAAATATACACAGCCATTGGCAGACAATTATAAGTTTTACTCAAAACCATCATCGTAATGAGAAATACTGAGTTCTCCCCACAGGAGGTCCTGTTAGGAAGAGGCTGAAGTGAATACAGAAGCTTGTAAAATTGTTATTTCCAGCAGGGAAACATTCTCGGAGAACTTCAGCATCTGCATATCCCTTTGTTGGTAACGTAATGTATGACATGTGGTGGATTTGGAGCCCTGGCTTCACTTCAAGAGGCACATGGAAGATCTTTAAATCTTCGGAGCATCTTCCCTAGGTCATATTTAAGTCTTGCAGAAGGTGAAAAAAAAAGTGAGTATCACTTTAAACAAGTCAAATAAACAGCATTATGGGGAAGAAAGGGCAGAGAATCCAATTTTCTACATCAGTAACAAAAATAATCACCAGTGGTTATTTCTGTTCATCTTCTATGATATCGAGAAGCAACTGGGGATGATGTTGGGAGACACTGGTTCAGTTCAGCCTCTGCACTTTGCTCTTTGGTGTTCTGACGTTTGAATTATCCCACAGCCAAATGGAAGCCTCTAGGGAATTCCCTAGGGAATGTCCTGCAATTGGCATCCCTAAGACATCCACCAATAACCGATTTCTAAACAACACGATGGCCAAGTCCACCACAAGGTGTCGATGTGGTAGCACTAGAAACAGGATTTGCTGCTCCACGGCCGACTGTCCCAGGCCCGAGCCGAGCACTCGGGGAAATCCTGGCAGCAGAAGCCGCCCTTGGGAGCAGCCGGGGCTCTCAGCTCTGCCCAGGCCTGAGAGGCTCCCGTGGGCTGAAAGGAACCACGAGCTCCATCGTGGGGCTCCATCGCACCAGCTGAACCAATTCTGGTGCCTTCTGCCACCTGAAACACATGGTGGTGTTAAACATTCAGCCTGTGGTTTATGCTCAAGCAGCCCTGCAAGGGCACACAGCAGCTCAGACGGACTGAGAGCGGTGTCAGGCTGTGGAGCAGCGAGAAACAAACGCAGAATAACAGGTTTCAGAAAGGGGGCATTCTACAGAATCTACCCTTTATTCCATCTATTTATTCTCCCCTCACCTGCAGTTCAAGCT